AAAACCTTTGGTTATTAAACAAAGCCTAATTAATCTGGCAGAATTCACAGCTTATAATAACAAAAGTCTACCACATAAGGATGCAAAGATATAAAACTTTAAACATTACTATTAACACTGCAGAGCTGGAGAACTAGAGAACTAGAGAACTAGAGAACCAGAGAACCAGAGAACCAGAGAACCAGAGAACCAGAGAACTAGAGAACCAGAGAACTAGAGAACCAGAGTACCAGAGAACTAGAGAACTAGAGAACTAGAGAACTAGAGATCTAGAGAACTAGAGAACTATGTTTATTCAAATTTTTTTTTTTTAATTAAATTAATTAAATTAAATTAACTTTACATTTCAGAAACGTAGTTTAAAAACTTTTTTAAAAGATTAAAATTTACACATTTTGACGCATGAATTAATTAACCCATAGGAATTACATAAGAAATTTATAATTGACAAATACAATTAATTTTAGTTAATTTTTACCACAAAACATTCACAATTGTGTTAAACAACTAAGGTTTTAATGTTGATCTTTTGCAGTTATAAACTCGTTATCTAGTATATGATAACATAAACTTACAGGGGCGGATACAGGATTTAAGTGAGGGGGGGGCAAGATTTTTTAGGAACAAAAAATTCATAAGTAGGAACAAAAAATCGCACCCCATGCGAAATTTTTTTGACTTAAAAGACTTCAAAATAGTCAAAATTAATGACTAAAGACCAAAAAACTTGATTTTTAACTTTCACACATTATAGTTTATTAAGACAGATATTTTTCCTGTTTTTGTTTTAATATTTACTGGACCACTTTTAAATCAACTTTTTTCAGGCACAACTTGGATTCAACATTCAAAGAAAAGTATGGAGACCCAGCAGTACAGTTGGTGCTAGATAATTCTAGGCGGTTCTGGGAAGACTTCTGCCCGCAATCCACTCGAATCCAATTAAACCATGCTTTACAGGAAAGGCTAATGGCGGACCTGAGTAAAAGGGTGGCTGAAGGGAATGGGGGACGTACTCAAAATGAAGATTTTTCATGAAAATCCAAACTGAGAAAACATAATTACCCTCTTCCACCTATGCCATGATCATTGGCATAAATATGACCTGATTTCCTCAACATACACTTCCCGGGAGGGATTCGGACCTTAACATATCCCCCCCCCCCCCCCNCCCCTCTGGAAGAAACTATATGTAAGCCGCCCTTGCAACCAATTTATTTAGTTTCACCAAGTTTATGTGTGTTCCAAAAATTGGTTCAATTATAAGTACCGCTCATCGAACCTAGAGGAAACGAACCTAACATTTTTCTGACCTAACGCTTTTCCGACCTAAAAATCTGTAGGTTCGATTAGCGAAATGTCCCAAACAGACCTAAAGATTGAAAATATATTTAGGTCGGTTATCAATATATTTTAGGTCAGTTGGGAATATATTTTAGGTTGGTTAAAGCAACAATTTTAGGTTAGATAAGCATTCATTTTAGGTCGGTTGAGCAATATTTTTTAGGTCGGTTGAGCAATATTTTTAGGTCAGATGAGCAATATTTTTAGATCGGATGAGCAATATTTTTAGGTCGATTGAGCAATATATTTAGGTCGGTTAAGCAATATTTTTAGGTCGGATGAGCAATATTTTAGGTCGGATGAGCAATATTTTAAGGTCGGATGGGCAATATTTTTAGTTCAAATGAGAAAATTTTTTTAGGTCGGTTGAGCAACAATATTAGGTCAGTTTAGCAATATTTTTAGGTCGGTTGAGCAATATTTTTAGGTTGGTTAAGCAATATTTTTAGGTCGGATGAGCAACATTTTTAGGTCAGAATTGAGATATTTTTTTAGGTCGGTTGAGCAATATTATTAGGTCAGTTGAGCAATATTTTTAGGTCAGTTGAGCAATATTTTTAGGTCGGTTGAGCAATATTTTTAGGTTTGGTTGGTTGAGTATAATATTTTTATTTCAGAGGTTACAATAGATGAGTAATATTTTTTGTAAATGTTTAAATATATAGTTGTAAAACATAAAAACAACTATTTTCAATTAAATTAGTATTTATTTAGGGTTAGGTTAGGTTAAGACACTTTCTGGGGCGAGCGCTGCAGCTAGGACAGGCTAGGGGCTGAGCGCTGCGGCCACAGGTTAGGTTAAGTTTTGACACTTTCTGGGTCGAGCGCTGCGGCCAGGAAAGACCTTTAATTCAACAATTTTTATTGAAATTAGTGTTGTTAACCATTAATTTAAGACCTCTGCAAAATGTCGTCTTCAACTTGAATCTCCTCTCGGAGACAGCCAAACCAAATTTTCAGCCCACAATTCCCTTTGTACTCCACCAGGGTTAAGAACCAGAGCAACAGGAAAGGAAACAGGAGGGAAAGCAGGAGCTTCAGAGAGAAATCAGGAGGTCAGGAAGAGAAACAGAAGGAGAACCAAACCCTGAAACCTAACCTGAACCTCACGCCAACCCCAGCCTCTGTCAGATCTGACCCTACAACCACTCCAAGTATTCCCACCAGTCCAGAATCACAGAACAACTCCATCAACCCTGTCGAATCAGAAATTCCAGGAAGAGATTCAGGGGAGAAAGCAGGAGCAGGAAATCTAGCTCCAGCTCCGAAACCCAGACCAGAGCCTGCACAGGATGAGTTCCACCCAGATCTCAACAAAATCAATCAATAGAACCATACCAAGCATCAACGCAGGAATCAACTATTTAAATATTTAATTTCTTATTTTTTTCCATTCAAATTAAACAATGATCTTTTCTAGTTTCATTAAACCCTTAATTAAAATCATTTCATTTTAATTTATATTCGGAATCCATTCTCAATTTACTTACCAATTTATCTTTTCTTTGACTATTCCTTAAATTACTTTATCAGATAAGCACAGGAAAATGTGCAACTTGATCTCAATTTTACTTCACTGTTTAATCTCTTCAACCATTTGATTATTTAACACAGTATTAATTTATGTACCTCGTAATAATTCTTCTGTTTATTTCAATCAATCAATATAGTACCTATCACACTCATTCAAACTAAATGTTGTAAACAAATTAATGGTTATGTTTTCATTCTCGTATGTTACCATAACATCCTCAAACCCTGCCTGGGGCCAGTGTTAACCATTAATTTAAGACCTCTGCAAAATGTCGTCTTCAACTTGAATCTCCTCTCGGAGACAGCCAAACCAAATTTTCAGCCCGCAATTCCCTTTGTACTCCACCCCACGGAGCTTAAAATTTTTCGTTATTGTGAAATCATTAAAGTTAAGCAAAATATTTTCATATTCGTTAAATATCCAACTGTAATTTTTCAGAAGTTAAAAAAACGTATTTCAATACTGATCAACAATAAGTCTCCCCCGATCACGCCCTAATAATTCGTAAGATTTTTTCTACTACTAATATTCATTATAACATTGTACAAGTAACCATGACCTATAATTTATGTTATTTTTTAGGAAATAAAGATTTTGTTATCGAATTTCTGAGACGGGGTTAAATTAATTTAGAAGATGGGCGCGAAGCGCCCTCTAAGGCTAGAAAGAAGGGCGCGAAGCGCCTTGAATTTCTAGTTTTAATAAAATTAGTGTATATTCAGGGTTAAGTTAGGTTGAGCTCATTTCTGGGCCGAGCGCTGCGGCTAGGACAGGCTAGGGGGCCGAGTGCTGTGGCCACATGTCTGGGCCAAGCGCTGTGGCTAGCACTGGCTAGGGGCCGAGCACTGCGGCTAGGACAGACTAGGGGGCCGAGCACCGCGGCTAGGGCAGGTTATGGGGCCGGGCGCTGCCGCCACATGACCAATTTTATCCATGTTTTAAATATGAGATGCATGTACAGGCCCCAAGGGGTGTTGAGCCCCCCTCAAAAACACCGTTTTATGCATTACTGAAACAGTAGTCGTACAGTTCACTTATGGCTTTGATTTATTGGTAAAACAACCTAAAAAAAATGCTCATCCGACCTAAAAAAAATTACTCATCCGACCTAAAAATATTGCTCATCTGACCTTAAAAATAATTCTCCTCCAACCTAAAAATATTGCTCATTTGATCTAAAAAAATTGCTCATCCGACCTAACAATATTACTCATCCTAACTAATAATATTGCTCATCCAACCTAAAAAAATTGCTCATCCGACCTAAAAATATTGCTCATCCGACCTTAAAAAAATTGCTCATCCGACCTAAGAAATTGCTCATCTGACTTAAAAAAATTGCGTAACCGACCTAAAAATATTGCTCATCCGACCTAAAAAATTGCTCATCCGACCTAAAAAAATTGCTCAACCAACCTAAAAATATTGCTTAACAGACCTAAAATTGTCGACACGTTATAATCCAACTTAAACTTCTTGGTAAACAGATCTAATATATATGCTCAACCAATTCCTAAAAATATCTCTAAATCTTAGGTCGGTAAACTATACTTCTCATAGGATGTCAAACGGACCTAAAGCTTTTTTCAACCAAACCGACCTAAAACACGTGCAAACTACTCGATATTTAGGTCAGAAACCCTTTAGGTTAGAATCATCTAGGTCGGAATATACGGCACCCAATTATACATATAATCCTCATTTTTTTATCAGCATATACCTTAATTTTTTTTCAGGGGTCTAAACTTTTAAGTTCTTTTTCGATTGCTTGTTCGCACGTAAATAAATTATGTATAATTGTACAAAGTCAAAATTTATATTTTTTGATACATGTAATTAAAGCATAAATGAACCCCTGATTTTGAACTTGAAAAACGAAACCCTGTCTGCTGCAAAGCACGCGGGAGTTTGAGAACTGTTTGCGGCATTGTACCATAACAATGTCGGAGTCGGAGCTTGGGTTTGCCGCTTACGCATACCATTCTTAATCTTTTTATAATAAGTCAGATTTTTTATACTTCTTAGTAAAACAAATCGTTGTTAATAATCCAGAGAGTGTTTTTCACGTGACACCATATCTTTTTTGATTACTGTAAAGTGTAAATTGATACTTTATAATAAAGTGTGTTATTTGTTTTCATAGAAAATGGCGTCAAAAGCTACAAGAAGGGCAGTCGAAGAGGAGGATTTGGCTAATGTCGAGTTTGAGACCAGCGAGGATGTCGAGGTTGTTTTTAATATATTTTGTTTTCAGTTGATTTATAATTAAACCCGTTTTTATACACTTTAAAGGAATACTAGGGGTCTGTTCTTCATGAATGATATAAATATACGACCACATGTCCAACTTTGACGTTATTTTAGTATAAAACTGTGGTATATTCCTAGAGAACGATTCATTTCCGGGCCGAGCGCTGCGGCTAGGATGGGCTAGGGGGCCAAGAGCTGCGAACAGAAAGATCTTTATTGTCTAAAATGTTTAATAAAATTAGGGTATATTTAGGGTTAGGTTAGGTTAAAGCTCATTTCGGGGCCGAGCGCCGCGGCCACATGAGATATCCATGTGAAACATACTTTAACCATGTATAAAATTATACCCTATTAAAATATATTGCCTCAAAGGTTCGCTTAGTTAAGGATTAGAGATAATTCTTGGAAATTTTTTTAAATAAAAGTACCTCTGTCGTGCTCTTATCCTCAATGTTGTCCCTAATCCTTCTTATACTTTAGGTTATATTGAACCTTCTTAATACTCTAGGATGTCCTAATCTAATCCTTCTTATACTCTAGGTTGTCCTAATCTAATCCTTCTTATACTCTAGGGTGTCCTAATCTAATCCTTCTTATACTCTAGGGTGTCCTAATCTAATCCTCCTTTTACTGAAGGTTGTCCTAATCTAATCCTTCTTTTACTCAAGGTTGTCTAAATCTAATCCTTCTTATACTCAAGGTTGTCCTAATCTAATCCTTCTTATACTCAAGGTTGTCCTAATCCTTCTTATACTCAAGGTTGTCTAAATCTAATCCTTCTTATACTCAAGGTTGTCCTAATCTAATCCTTCTTATACTCTAGGTTGTCCTAATCCTTCTTTTACTCAAGGTTGTCTAAATCTAATCCTTCTTATACTCAAGGTTGTCCTAATCTAATCCTTCTTATAGTCTAGGTTGTCCTAATCCTTCTTATACTCAAGGTTGTCTAAATCTAATCCTTCTTATACTCAAGGTTGTCCTAATCTAATCCTTCTTATACTCTAGGTTGTCTTAATCCTTCTTTTACTCAAGGTTGTCTAAATCTAATCCTTCTTATACTCAAGGTTGTCCTAATCTAATCCTTCTTATACTCAAGGGTGTCCTAATCTAATCCTTCTTATACTCAAGGTTGTCCTAATCTAATCCTTCTTATACTCTAGGTTGTCCTAATCCTTCTTTTACTCAAGGTTGTCTAAATCTAATCCTTCTTCCACTCCAGGTTTTACTAATCATTCTTAATCTTAAAGTTGTACAACAAATCCTTTTTATACTCTAGGTTGTCTAATCCTCCTTATTCTCTAGTAGTCCTAATCCTTCTTGAACTATAGGGTGTCCTCTAAACCTTCTTATACTCTAGGTTGTTCCAACCTTTGACTCTATGAGCCTGCGTGAAGATCTGCTCCGAGGAATTTATGCATACGGTTTTGAGAAACCTTCAGCTATCCAGCAGAGAGCCATCAAACCCATTGTTAAGGTTAGTCTTGGAGAGCTCAAAAATTTCAACCCACTTTAAGTTGCATTTTAGTATTTTTATATGTATATGTATATACATTTCTTTGTGCAACTCTTATAAATGGTGTTTTATCAATACTTTTAGAAATTTTTAGGTTTTTTAATTGTCCCCCAAAAAATCCGAACCTTTTTTTCTCTCAAAATGGAATATTCTGAAAAGCAAAAATGTTAATAAAAATTATTTCTATCAAAAATTGATTGAATCATAGAAAATTCTCAAAAATCGTTATAAGCAAATTCGCAATTTTCAGTTCTGGTCTAAGTTTTAAGGAAAAGTTATTTAAATGCTCTATTTCCTTTCTTCTTAGTATATTCTAAAAATATAAATATACGCTGTTCAATTGAAACCTGAAGAACCATTGAAAAACCACTTTTCCGTAAAAATTAGACCAGAACTGAAAATTGCGAATTTTTTGAATTTTCTGTGATTCAATCTTTATATATTTTTTTATGCAGATAGACATAATTAAATTCACAATTTTGCTTTTTTACGAGAAAATGCTCGCGGATTTTTTGGGGCCATTGGGAGTACCCAGAAATAACACCATACATGAGAGATGCACATAAAAACGTAAATTATGCTCCAGGAGCCGCTTAATCACTTTTTTGACTCACTCCGTATATATATATATATATTTTGTTTTCATTATATCATTTAAAAATTACCAATTTCTGACGGAAATATGTTCAGGGACGTGACGTGATTGCCCAGGCCCAATCCGGAACTGGTAAAACTGCCACCTTCTCTATTTCTATTCTCCAGAGTATTGATACTACTGTCAGGGAAACCCAGGTTAGATAAACCCTCGTCTCTCTGTGCAGTTAAACTATATAACGTATAGTTTAAATTAAAATACTCTTCAAGTGTAGACGTGACAAGACGAGGAATAAATGTGAGGGTTACTATGTGCATTGTGCATGGGTTCATCTACAGAGTTTGTAAAAGATGTGTCTTTAATTAAAGTTATGTGACATGTTTTGGGTGTAATTTGTATATATATGTAAATATAAAAATAAGAGTTCACTTTTACATGGTGTACACACATCCTCTAAAACATACTTTATCATGTATAGGTTTAATAAATGTGTAACTTTATGAATGTCGTCTTCTCTAAACCAGTGCCGATTTCCGGGGTTTGCACTACTCTTGCAGGGTGGTAACGTTGTATCTGTATCTGTATAATAGTCTCTGATCTGTCTACGGCGTATTTGTGAAATATTTTATATGCTTTCATGTAACAGTCGAATACAGCTCATTATTATTATTATTTAAGTTGATGAATATTTAGGTTCTGTGTTTGTCTCCTACCCGTGAGTTGGCAGTACAGATCCAGAAGGTTGTTCTAGCTCTTGGAGATTATATGAACGTCCAGTGTCACTCTTGCATAGGAAACTAAACAATTCAAATATTAAGTTTTAAAACCAGTTTTTTGTTTGTTTGTTTGTTTGTCCGATCACAACTCAGAAACCCCTCGCCGGATTTGATTGGGGAACTCGGAAGACACGCGGGAACGTTCTTAGCTTGAGATTGGTTGAGTTGGTCGACTTAAATAGCAACAATTTAGTTTCCCGGCAATATCGTTCAAATGCGGGTAAACGGCGGGAGTTACTTTTAGTAACCTTGGCAGCACTGGGTTCCCAAGTTTTAGTAAAGTTGCAAAGATTCAAAGCGAACGGTTGATCTAAATGGTTTTATTTGGTTGATTCAAATGGTTTGGTTGAACAGGAGGAACCAACCTGGGTGAGGATATCCGTAAACTTGATTACGGTCAACATGTTGTATCTGGAACTCCGGGCAGAGTATTCGATATGATCAGACGCAGGTAACATCTAACTCTATATCTTGAGGAATCGAGTGATTTTAAAATGTTGGGAAAAGATGAATTTACAATAGTTTTTCATTTAGAACCCTATAAACGGTATTAGCTTGTCAAATTAGGGATGGGGGTGAATTTTTGTTTGTTCTATTTAGAAATATATACCCTTGTCCTGCCCTTTCTCCAAGATAGATATTCCTATGCTTATGGTTTATATGATTTTCGAAAACATGGGGTCGTGTGGGGATATGCAATTTTAATTAATTTAATTATTTCCGCCTCTCAAATTGATTTTTCTCATTTTTATTGAAACAAAAACCTTTTATTCAATTTTGAGGATTTTACCCGACATTTTACTCACAATTGTATGTTCTGGGTGTATGAAGTTTTTTTCTTGTTCCGAGGCAAATAAGTAACATTTTACACCAGCAAACTAGGTTTTTTTTTTAATAACTATCGCAAAATACTTGAATTGAACCAAATTAATGTATCCAACCGTGTTGTGTTTTCATTTAGAATATGTGTTTTTGTTGTTGTAATTTTTACGTTTCTGTTTATATAAGATTTAAAAAGGAGGCTAAAAATGTATTGTTTTGCATGATAACACAAGGCAGTTTATTAAATAGATATCAAAATACTGCGGAAATATTCCTAATATCCCAAGGGAAATGGCTGATTATAAATGCTAAATATATTCCTGTATTATAAGGACCCTGAGGACCCGAGGTATTAAGATGTTGGTACTGGACGAGGCTGACGAGATGTTGAACAAGGGGTTCAAGGAACAGATCTACGATGTGTACAGATATTTACCTCCTTCAACTCAGGTATACACTATACAGAGAGAAACAGAAAACTCTAATTCTCGTCTGACCTCTCTTAAAATTATGAAATTTCGCTCAGGGTTTTTTAATTTGTCTTTAACAGGGATTTATTACATTTTGGATTTCGAGATCAATGCTTGATCTAAATCTTTCGTCAATGAGTGGATATCAAGAACAAGCTCTCGGGATTATTATTTATTAGTATCGAGCTCTGAACACGTTTAAAGATCTATCCGTTACAAATGCCAAAATTCTTAAGGTTATTTCTTAAGTAGAAGGAAAAAAGGAGAACATTCAATCTTTAATCTGTATTCAATCTACTGTATTTATATTATCTAAAATTTATAATCACTCAATGAATAATTTTATTTAACATTTTTAATTCAAAAATATTTTTTTATATAAACTAACAAATTATTCAAAATTTACCGACTCAATGATGTAGGTTTGCCTGATCTCCGCTACCCTGCCCCACGAGATCCTCGAGATGACCAGCAAGTTTATGTCAGATCCTATCAGGTACATTGGAAATCCTAACTTAATGTATTTAAATTCCTTTTTTGTTAATAATTTCACTTACTTTAGCGAGAAAACTGTTCAGAATATATCAAGATAGACCTGCCTTAAACACTGAGTTCCGAAGAAATTGAATTTATTTATTTGTATGGCGGATCCAGAATCCTATTCGCAATAAGAACTATCTTAGTTGGTTATTTTCTTTGTAAAATTGTAATCCCATGTTCTGATTGTTCAGGATCCTGGTAAAGCGTGACGAGTTGACGCTGGAGGGTATTAAGCAGTTCTTCGTTGCTGTTGAGAGGGAGGAGTGGAAGTTTGATACACTCTGTGACCTCTACGATACACTCACTATCACTCAGGTAGGCGCAAGTAAACAAAGTGATATCTGCACTCGGCGCAGGGTTGTTTGTCTTGACATTATTTTTGTTTTTCATCGGAGACTCTTGTCATAAAATTTGTTCCTAGATAAAAAACGACTTATTCGGGAACTGAATTAAAACTGATTTTTTGACAATAATTTATTTTCCTCTTACTCAGTGAGAAACGTCTCCAAAAAACACCAACTCTTAGGGGGGGGGGGATAACTTCCATGCAAATATACACCCTTAGAATCGGTGCTTAGGATCCACTTATTTTTGATGCGGATCCGGATCCTGGATCCGCACTGAAAAAAAATGGATCCGGATTTAAGTCATTTCTCTAACGATTTACTGAATTTTTTAACATTACAGAATTTTCAAATATTTGTTTGATTTTTTCGTAATTTTTATGCTAAACTTGATGAACCATTCAGAAATTTGGAAATTTTTATTATCTCTCATTCTTCATTAATTCAGATTTGGGTTTTGAGCGAAACATTTTTCTTTCTTTCATTTTTTGGTTGATATTTTCCCCCGTTGATCCGCATATTTTTACGGATCCGGGTCCAGGAAGCCAAAATCCTGATCTTACGCACTGCTTGGAATAAACATCTAAACATAAATATTGTTAAGGCGGTTATCTTCTGTAACACAAAGCGTAAGGTTGATTGGTTAACTGAGAAGATGAGGGAGGCCAACTTTACAGTCTCCTCAATGCACGGAGATATGCCACAGAAGGAGAGAGATGCTATCATGAAGGAATTCAGGTAACCATAGATATATTAGATTGGGAACCCAGCGGTAGGTATAGTTAGTCCCTCCGTTGACCGGCACTTTGTCGTAAATCACGATTTTAGATCATTCTTCTCTAATAATTCTAACCAAGAACATTCCTGGGGCTCTCCCGAGTTCTCCAATCAGAATTTGATGCAAAAACAGTCCAGGGGATATTAACGTCAGAAATTATTTGTCAAGAACATATCGTAATAGTTCTGTCATGATTTGGACTTTCATTTGTCTTACTCAAGATGTATTTAAAACTTAAAATTTTTTGTTTAGGTCCGGACAAAGCCGAGTACTCATCACTACTGATGTTTGGGCAAGAGGAATTGACGTTCAACAGGTAGAGCATTCAAACTAACACAATAATATAAATAAAATATCACGCGGATAGTACACAACCATCTTACCTTTCCTGGTGTCACGTTAAAGAAGGCCCGGGCGTTATATTTGGTCCGGGTTAGTGTTACATGTGAAATCCATGTACAAAATTGATAGGAGGGGGAAGGGGGGGGGGTCAAAAAATCGTATATTAGGAAATTACCGCTGGTTATGTATAAAATTGATAGAAGGGGGGGGGGGGGCCCAAAAATTGTTTACTTTGACCGTTTGACGGACCCAAAGAGTGCACATTATCATTGTTATTGAAATTGTTACAATTTTTTGTTTCCCCCCGTTCTACAATTTTGTACATAACCAGCGGTAATTTCTTAATATACGATTTATCCTATCAATTTTGAACATGGATTTCACATGTAACACTCACCCGGACCAAATATAACGCCCGGTCTGGATGTAACGCTACACCGGTACGGCAGCTTATAAAGGTTATAAGGAGATGCGAGCCGCGTGGCAATAATAAATAAAAAGTCAACCGTCATTCCGTGGAAATCGAGGCCGATACCCCTTCAAAGGGAAGAACTTATTGCCTCCTTATTACGATGTTATTAGGAGAAAAAAACTGTTTATGTACCTAATCAATATTTGAACCAAAGCGTAGCGAGGGACATAATTCACCTACCTCAAGTCTAGCAAAAAAAAAAAATCAAATGACTCGTAAAACGTCATAACTCAACCCCATGACCAGTTCTATTTCCCATGTGGCCACAGTAATATGTAAGAATACTAATTTTCCTTCTCATGGACGCACGTTGTTAAAATCATACATAGGTCAACATTAATTGAAGTCCAGTCGAGAGAAGTGGTCTGCTGGGACGATCAAGTGGTCTACCGGGACGATCAAGTGGTCTGCCGGGATCAGTGGTCTATCGGGACGATCAAGTGTTGTCGGGACGATTAAGTAATTTGATCGGGAATAAGAATGAAACTTATGTGGTTACATCGGGGTAAAAGAGAGCTAAATTTGATTTTTTTTTTTTTTTTAATGAATTCATTATGTTGTTGTGTTCAGGTTTCCCTGGTTATCAACTACGATCTACCAAACAACAGAGAGTTGTACATTCACAGAATTGGTAGATCTGGACGTTTCGGCAGGAAGGTCAGTATGGAACATTTCTCCTTTTAGGATATCAATTACTTTGATTTTGATCCAGGTCATGAACAATAGACATATATTCAACAAGTTCCAGATTTATGAAGAAATTCAGTATTTTTTATTACTGGTGCCCCGAACTCCAAAAAATGTCTGACAAAAATTTTATAAATAGCGGTTTAAAGTTTCATTTGATAATATTTCGATAAGCCAATTCCCACTTTTTGTTAAACGTTTGTTTGGAAACGTAAGGGTTTATATTTCTTAAACTTTAATTTTTGTATCCTGATACAAATGACAAAAAGAAAGAAATTTCGAAGATCACAATTTGTGGTATCTTGTTCAAAAATGACATTAAAAAAAGAACTCTTTATACCCGTCTCTAAACGATTACGAATTAACGACTGCATCATGGGTTTTAAGTTATAATAAAGCTTGTATTGGAGGATTGGTTAGCATTTAAAGAAAAATGCATTTAATGTTAGAACAGATAACTTATAATTAAAAAATATATATTAACATTAATTTGTTTTAGTTGCTGACCTGATCTAAGAACTGGACGGGGCACATGGGGCGCTTGACCGACGCATTTCTGCTGAATATTTTGTACATAAATGGCCCCGCCCTCTCCGCCTGAATGCGTCACTGAGGCATGATGGCAGGGTAGGGCGAAGTACACGGGTCTGCTTAAAGTCCAGTGTATGCATGCGTACACTGGACTTTAGTTGCATTCAGGTTGGTTCTACTTTATATTCTTCATTGCTTTACAGCTTTTTGCCACGGGGCGTCGGGGGGTGTTCTTTTTTCATATATATAAGTTTTCCCCAGAAGGCTTATTTGCTTTTTAGGGTTTTATTTGCTTAATTGAGGAGAGAAAGATTTTGTGTGTAAAAAGTATCAAAGATAGAAAAACGTTGCCTTTTGATGAACTTTTCATTTATTTTCCATATCATCAAAAATCAATCAAGAAAGTTTCAAACAATCTTGGTCCTCCATAAACCATCTAGATGCCAATTTTTTGGCCATTTTCTTATCTATTTTGTTACGTAGTGTAGTTACTTCAATTTTAATTGAGAAAAAAAATATTTAAATTAAATAACAATTTAGTAAAACAATAAATTCAGTTTTTGGAATAAATTTCTGACCCCTGACCATATTTAAGGTGTACACTGTGTGTGTTCTGGACTGATGTGTGAGTTCACTGTTAACCCTTCTCTCCACCATGGCGTCTGTTAACCATCATTATTATAATCTTGTAGTTTTTTCTCTTATACTATTCTCACTTTACAACTTTAATCAGTTCAATATAATTTCAGACTAAAATATGACGCTGAATCCGAACTACGAAGCTATAGGGAAGGCGTTCACGGAGCAATATTACCTTATGTTTGATAACCCTGCTACAAGGTCAGTTAGATCCATCACTTTTTTAGGTTTTTTTTTTGCCGGATACAAACAAAAACAGAATATTCCTCAAATTTGGATTTTCATCCCAAAAAACGTTTGTTTTTTTGGTTTCTTACCTGTTGAAATAGTAACAACAAACAATTTGCTTATTTGAAACTGTTTTTATGGGCAGATTTTCCAAAAAAAAACAAGTAAAAATCATTGTTAGGCAGTCTTTAAATTCTGACCGGCAATAAATTTTTCCCTTGGGTTAATTACCACGAAAAATTGGTTTGATTGGTTCACATTTGACTAGTTGGAAAAAACAAGAAAGTCAAATTTAGACGTAATAGGTTTTCAGCGCCATTTTTCTTGAAACAATTTTAACTGTCGGTCGTTGCTCGTCTATCTGCCAGTTTTCTTTGTAAATCGCGCTTTCTTCGTGGATTTTGCTGGAAACATTGCACTTTTAACAACTAAATGTCGGCATTATTACCTTCTTTAACCATCCATAAGCCAGTTCTAGGGGTTATGGGAGTTACCACAAGCAAAGTATATGTATATTTATAATTCCCTTATTTAGGCATCAGCTCCAGGCCCTTTACAATGCAGATCAGTCCCTCATGTCCTTCGAGGGTCAGCAGATGCAGGGAGCAGTTAAAATAATGGAGAAGATACAGACACTAACCTTCCAGAAGATCGCTCATCTCATCACAGCTGTCGACTGTCAGCCAATGTTCGATGGTGGGATTCTAATCAACGTTCTGGGACAGCTGAAGGTAATAATTTTCCCTATAATAAATGTCAATATAAAGAACAAAATATATTTGTAAGAATTTTAAAAAAGGTTCTCAGCTATTTAAGTTTTTTTCTTCCTTTTTTGAAACTAAAATTCATTTCTTCATTATTTTTTACGTTTCTGACATTTTGTATCCATTATCTACAGCTTGCAGCGGATAATGTGTTTGAAGTACAGAAGTACACAAAAGATTAAATTATCTAAGAGAACACCTCTTTTTGGAATATTGATTAATAATAATTTCAATGGAATCGAGTTTAAAATCGTCTTTTCCTATCTTGTGAAGAATCGGTTCGGAATTTCCTAATAACATTTTCAAAATCGTGTTGATTCTTAAATGATTGATGCTAAAGAAGTTCCGTTCATCTCAAGGGAACTCGCAAAGTGTTCAAATATGATTAGAAGTCCAAACGTCTGTATTGTGCATCTCGCATCATTATCTTCAGCAGGCTTATTTTTGGGGGTCGTTAAAATTAAAGGAATTAACAGTTGTCACCTCATTTTAAAGTTTCAATTGTTGATATCGAGATCAAATGTTTAGATTAGTACTATTTCTCACAAATTTTCCGACCGTTGTCCTTTTAGAAACGGAGGTTATTAGCATTATTGTAAAATGTAAATTATAATACAAAGACGGTTTAATCTCGATGTATTTTTACAAGTTGGAAATTAAATGGAGGGAATACTGCAACTCTGAAAATAATTTTGTAGTTATCTTTTATTGAAAAATAATACATAGACGGACGAGGACCAACCTCATGGTTTCACACAATCCTTTATCCTCCGTCCTTCAACTGGAGGTTCCTGGTTTATACAACATGATATCTTCAGACTAGCACTTCATCATGTTGCTGCATAGTATGTTATATTCTTCAGTATATCTTTTTCAAACTCTGTGAAACCTGGATGCTTCGCATTTTCATATTAAAGAAGCCGACATAAACTGAACAAGTTTTTAACCCAGACAAAAGTTTTTTTAGTGAAAATAAAAAACACAAGTTATTAAATTTTTGTGCTTAGGTTCCATTTTATTTTAATATGGATCCGGATCCTGGATCCATCCTGTAAAAAAAATGGAACTGGATGCTTTTAAAGGATCCGAATAGCACTGCTTTCCTTTAAATACATTAAATGTATTCCTTTAAATATATCGATTCTCATTTGTTTAAAAATATTTGGAAGATTTACTCCATTTTGGGATTACTGGACGATGCCTAAGTTTCACAAAGTTGGAAAGCGATAAATATCCCTATTTATATCCGTTTGATTCTAATCCAGTTTTTGGCTTTAGTCCCTGTAAGTTTAAATACTTTGGACTTGATGCAACGTCTAGTTCTATTTACAAGTTTGTAACAAGTCCCTAATTAATTCTTAGTTAGCACTAACAAGCTTTGCATTTACGCAATTAACTATTGACTTTTGTATGTTAGATTTATCCGTTTTTGTTAAGTACAGCAAAAAATAATAACAACAAAAATAGAAAATGCACATTGCACTCTTCTCAGTATCAAGACGTGTTCGTGTGATTCACAAAATAGATAAAGATTAGTTCAGGGGTAAATACTAAATATTTTGCAGAAATCTCACCACTTCAGTTACGAATAAAACAATTTAAAATCCTAAAATTGTGAGTTTTCGATAAAAAATGTTAATCTCATTTAAGTTCTGTGAGCGAGTATTTTTGCAACGATATTGACTTGATATTGTAGCCCCGCCTAGTCTATGCAATCCAACCTAATAGACGGGGAATCTCTTTTTAGAAAATTTATTTCACCACGTTCTTCTGAGAAATTGGGAAAGGATTGAAATTCTAAGCCTAAAGAAGATGCATTAAGCAATCCCTGTTCGATGGGATGGGATGGGATGGGATTTTTAAAAACTATTAATTTAAAAAGAGACATGTGCTCTATTTTTGGTTTATTGGAATATGATGAAGAAAAAATATGTTGTTCCTTTAAACCTTTTTTCGTGTTCTTTTATCGCCTTTTGTTCTTCAATTCAATTTGATTTTTTAAAGTTGATATTGTATAATTATTAAATTCCTGCCGGAAATGCTGCTTTTCAATCAAGAAATATTCTTGAGTGTTCTAGTTAGTCAGAATTTTTAAAATCTCGAGAGAATAAGAATTTTAAAAAAATTGACGACTAACTTCAAAAGGAAATGATCTGGAAGGTTTTTGAAATACTCGAAAGACAACATTTTTTTGCTTTTTAATGTTAAACCTCACTGTTGACAAGAGGTTGTAATGTGTATATACTGAGAATTGGTATCCTATTTTTTAACCTAGTTAGCGTCTAAATTATCTTAGCGCCAACACTTTATGCAATAAAGCTAAGAGACGCTATTGGGATAAAATATTTAGTCAAGGAAATAACGTTAGTGATGCTTGATTAGCTAACACAATGCTTAAAATTACTTTTAGCTGGTCAATAATGAACAGAGGCCGGAACTTTTTAATAGAGTAGGATAATCCACATAGGAATCTTTAAGTTATTAGAGTAGGATAATCCACATAGGAATCTTTAAGTTGAACTAATTTAGTGTCTAATCCGTGAACATTGAGTGGAATTTGATTAGTCTGTTAAGGAATTAACTTAAATCGTCAAAATAAAAATATATATTTAGTAGTCCTTGAAGATGTAAGATCAGGGTCAAAAGTTGTGACCCCTGTTTATTATTTACGCGAAAATGTTGATTATGTTTATTGTGATCTCGGACATTTTGCGGGATTATACAATGAGAACCAGAAAATATGAATACTTTGTTTTTTAATAGCATCTAATGCTTGTAAGTATTGCAATAATGCCGTTTTCCTATTCCACAGTTTTCTGGTTCTTGATTCAGCTTTTGAAATCGGATCCTAAATATTTTCTAATTATTTTGTATTTGTTTAGACTGATGACGATCCTCCACAATCCTTTGTCCAGAACTTTGTGCTTAAACCCTCAGCAGATTCTTTCTTTATTCAACATGATGCGTTCAGGTACACCCAACATTTTAGCGGGTTTTTATTTGAAGGTGTTCTCTAAAGGTAAGTTCTTTTCATCCTTCTTGACACTTTATACTTGAAATTCAGCAAATAACCCCCCAAAAAAGTTCTCCTTAGAAAAATGGTTTTCCAGGGGGGGGAGGTAAATGATTTCTTAAAATAAACACCCCTGGCAAACATTGAAAGAAACTGAGAATAGACGTGAACGGGCTCATTTTCTATGCAAGAATAAATAAATGATTTTCGCACCCCTCTTCTAATAGCATATCTGTCGTAAATTTAATTTAATAATAATAATGGCATTTTTCGTTTTTCCTTTTAATAAATGGTGGACATTTTTACAGGCAAAATCAGTACATTTAGCCTTCTCTTAGGTTTCTTCATGAATAGTTGGACTTGATCGGTTCAGCCGTTTCTTTCTTTGGATGCTATTAAAGGGTCATTCTTTATGAACTCCGCCAGGTTTTGGAAATCGTGGATTTTCTATAAATTTCGCAAACAGCTAGCATATTTTGAGAAAACATGACATTGACTTCCATAGAGTGGCTGACATGACAAAAGAATGACCCCAAATAAACAGAAGATTTTTGTTTAATACTCTGCTTTTATAACTTTACTTTTCTAGACTTGTTCTGCACAATGTTGCCGCATAATACCATCCTACACCTCATCATCAGCTACTGGTGTTCAATATTCAACCATCAACCAACCACCTATGGACTAAATTCCTTTTTTGCTTTGTTGACGTGAATCTTTATCTACTATAGTGGATAAAGGAAATTGTGAATATTCAAGATTAAATCAAGTGGAACCTAGAAAATACCAAAACTCAAAAGTCCGCCGGGAGTAGAAATATAAACACGAGTTAAACCAACTGTACAACCTGTACTACGTGATAATGTACGGAGTCAATCAGTTTTTATTGTACTTCATCCCCCTTTTATTATAAAATAACTAAAATACAATGTAAAATATATTTTTTTATACAATTTATTTTTAGAATTCTTTTCCAAGTCCCAAACCTTCCCAAGGTCCTAGTTTAGTCCTAGTCCTTCTTTTGGTCCTAGTTTAGTCCCAAACTCTATCGTTGTCGATTCCAGCTTCCTTAAGGACAGCCTGTAGTGCCTTCTCCTCTTCAGCCAGATCAGCCTCGATTTCCTCTAAATAAAAAACTCTTAGTTTGTTAGTACTTTAATTTTACTTCTGTTAGAACTTCAATTTTACTGATAAACGAACTAAACTATATATATAGTACGCTGGCAGTAGAAAAATCCTGCCTAAATTGCTCACATTCGTACTTCTAAAAACAAGAGACATCTATGCAGTGCTTAGGATCCGTTGGATCCGCAAGATTTTGGCTTCCTGGATCCGGATCCAAGGGGTAAAATATCAACCAAAAACTGCAACCAAAAAAAAACTTTTTTACTCCTAAAACCAAAATCTGAACTTGAACTTGTAAAAAAAGAGAGATTATAAAAATTTCATGGTTCATAAAGTTTTGGGAAAAAGCAGTGCTTAGGATCCATTTAATTTTACTGCGGATCCGGATCCGGATCCTGGATCCGCTTTTCAAAAAAATGGATCCGGATCCATTTTTGTAAAAAAAAATTAAATTCTTGAAAATCCGCAAAAAAATTTTCTTCTTTGTTTTAAAATGTAAACAAAAAGAACATGTTCACAATTTAAATAGAAGATGGTCGCGAAGCGCCCTAAAAGCCAAGTATATATATATTTTCTTTGACTATACGCGTAATTTTAAGTGATCCTCCGAGGAAAGCTGGCCATACCTGATTTACAACGGTACCCTTGATACCTTAATCTGAGGAAAAATGTGAAAGATACTGTCGTTGTCTGAATCTTTCAGAATTGAAAAAAATATCAAATACTAGAATGTTTATTACCTTTCGTTAATCCTTGAACCTCTTTCTCAATAATTTTCATATCTTGCATTTCCACTTCAACCATAGCTAGGATATCCTCTACACTATTCCCACATCTAGATATTTATTATATATCTACCTTAGCTAGGACAAGGATTGTTAGGCAAGGAAAGTTATTTCAGAAGTGTACACATCTTTTGTACTGCAGTGTACTGTCTCTGGGCGGTAATGTAAGAGAGAAAATATTATTATATTTTAAGCGTATTTTTTCCATCATTGGATTCCTTGGATCCTTCTATAATTTACAAAAACCAATGCAAGGAAATTTGTGTCTAAGCTAAACTGTACCTTTTATAAAGATCCTTACATCTTCCCTGTCCTTTCTCAATACCAATCTGTGCAGCCAGGTTTAGTTGAACCTGAATTCATCATTTTTGATAAAAATACACCCACCTTCCACTAGTTTGAAAGTTTTTTACACATTAAAAAATTTGGGAATTCAAAAAAAAAATTTAATTTATTCAGATTTGGACGGTATTCAGTGGTTTGAGACGCATATTTTGAAAGATGCCCATGTCAACATGTTTTGTAAAAATTGTAAATTCTAACACCCTAATCATATTTTCATTCGTTTATTACAACATGAGTTTTGTTTTTTCAGCTAAGAAATGTTGATTCTAATTTTCAAATATTATTTTTTTTTGCTGGTACGAAAAGGATTTGAAATTTTCGATGAAATAGTTTCATTCTTAATTCTATTTATTTTGTTTCCTTAATGTTAATTTTATTCTACCTCTCCATTGCTGATATCAACTCTCTTACTGAAGGTTTCAGTCAAAAGGATCTCGTTGTCGGTCATACTAAAAATTTAGGATTTAATAACGACTCGTCAGATAAAGGTACACCTCCACTTACCCCTTTGATAATAAAGAGGCTTTTTATTTCTTACGATAAATCAAGAAAATAAAAGATTATCGTAAAAACATAATTATAGATTCGTTCATTTAAAATTCAGTTTTTGCTTTACATTTTGCCCTGGGGGAGATTTTTCATGACAAATATACAATTGTATGGGGGGGGGGGTAATGAGAAGTTCACCTTGTTTTCAATTTTAATTATCCAGACTAATTGTACCTGTTCTTATTAGATGCATACTTTGCAGATAGTTCACAGATAACTTTTTTACTACAATCATCCTGAAAACATAGCTTTTTTACTACAATCATCCTGAAAACAAAGCTTTTTTACTACAATCATCCTGAAAACAGAGCTTTTTAAACAGAAATTTAATTCATTTGAGTATATCATCTTTATCGGTATTATACAGTAAAGCACCAGCTTGAGAACCTATCTTTGCCTGGAAAGCAAACTTATGTTAAGCAATATGGTTACGGGGTTCTTTCTAGGTGAGATCACTACTTTATGTATATAGATGAAGTGGATACGGTGTTGCAAATCTTATTCTTATGGCTTGGTTAAATTATTATTTATTCATTCGACGTCGTTGTAAGTTCAAGAGATCCTCATTTTACATCCAGTGTTAAGCGATTATATCAATACAATGAAGACGACTTTTTTATTTAAGCTTTGATTGTAAACAAGTTTTTCTCGAATTACAAGTTTACAAGTAATAAAAGAAAAGCATTTTTTATTGACAGTTTCTCTTGACTTTTATGTTAACGTGTCTCCATGAGGTTTCACAGCTTAATGTAAATAAAATTGTTATCAAAATTCGTCAACACTGTGTTGAATAAATTGATTTAATCGCCTACCATCGTACTCGCATGTCTGATTCACAACTATATTCATAAAAGCATTGTCTGGTCAAGTTTGACTGAGATATCCAATATTTTATTTTAAACGCGAGTTTTTTTCAAACGAGGTTTCTTCTTAAAAGTTACTTTCTAATGCAGTCAACACAGAATTAAACGCTATTCAAGCCAATAGGTTTCAAAGGTACCATTGTGAATTGGAGTATCACTTGAAATTCAGTAACGAGACTCTTTAGTCGAATTCTTTATTTGTTTTACACAGCAACATTTTTCAGCAATTGGACCTCCCTCTCACGAGGTTGCAAACTAAAATATCATTATTTCCCTACCTGGTCCTTGGCCGTCATCTCGAGGGTCCAGGCGTCGAAATCAAACGATTCAACCTCTCGCCTGAACAAAATTTGCCTAATTGTTTTTTTTGGTACAAGAAGGGGTAATTTTTGTTATTAACCGACCCCCTCGATTTAGAGCAGTAGGACATGAGTAGGACAGTACTGCGAAATATATGCAATTTTTTGTAGTAGTAGTAGCAGCAAATAGTTTTTATGCTATAGAGCAAATATAGTTTTGATGTTGTTATACGGCAAATATAGTTTTGATGTTTTTATACAGTAAACATAGTGTTGATGTTGTTATACAGCAAATATAGTTTTGATGTTTTTATACAGTAAACATAGTTTTGATGTTGTTATACAGCAAATATAGTTTTGATGTTTTTATACAGTAAACATAGTGTTGATGTTGTTATACAGCAAATATAGTTTTTATGTTTTTATACAGTAAACATAGTGTTGATGTTGTTATACAGCAAATATAGTTTTGGTGTTGTTATACAACAAACATAGTTTTTAAGTTGTTTCACAGCAAATATAGTTTTTATGTTTTTATACAGTAAACATAGTGTTGATGTTGTTATACAGCAAATATAGTTTTGGTGTTATTATACAACAAACATAGTTTTTAAGTTGTTTCACAGCAAATATAGTTTTTATGTTTTTATACAGTAAACATAGTATTGATGTTGTTATACAGCAAATATAGTTTTGGTGTTGTTATACAACAAACATAGTTTTTAAGTTGTTTCACAGCAAATATAGTTTTGATGTTGTTATACAGTAAATATAGTTGTAACGTCATACGGCAAATATAGTTTTGATGTTGTTATACATCATAATAGCTTTGATGTTGTTATACAGCAAATCGCTTTGATGTTGTGAAACAGAAAATAGTTTTGATGTTGTTATACAGCAAATATAGTTTGATGTTGATACTGCAAATATAGTTTTGATGTTGTTATACAGCAAATATAGTTTCAATGTTGTTAAACAGCAAATATAGATTTGATGTTTCATATTTGATCAGACAAAGCTTTTAAGGGTAATCGTTGTAATTGTATAGTGGGCACTGCCATCTTTGCATGAAGGGTCACTTGAAATTACGTTTTCAATCCCTTTAAGTTACTTTTTAAAAATGTTTAAAGAATTCATAATGTTTTACTTCATTCTTCGGATGTCTTCATGAGTGAATTCTGCCACGATACTACGCTTCCCTCTGTGGTGGTGTCCGTGGTTGTATTTATCAGAACTGTAGTAGTACTAAACAATATATTTTGAAGGAAGAAGTTATTAAGGTTACAAGATAAATGCAAATCTATATTTAATAGAACTGATTTAGTGGGTTAACTATTCATACAGCTGTGTTTTCCCTCTGTGGTGGTGTCCGTGGTTGTATTTATCAGAACTGTAGTAGTACTAAACAATATATTTTGAAGGAAGAAGTTATTAAGGTTACAAGATAAATGCAAATCTATATTTAATAGAACTGTGGCCGAATTTAAAGAATTTGATCGGCGGTTTAAATTTAAACCGCGGTTAAAATACGGTTGGTTCCACTTAAAATTGTATTAAATGTTTCAAGATTTAAGCTGGCGCTTAATTTAAACCGGGTTTTGGCGGATTTAAACCGCGGCTCAAATTCTTTAAATTCCATCTCTGATTTAGTGGGTTAACTATTCATACAGCTGTGTTTTCCAGGCTTAAAGCAAAATATAATCAAAGAGAAACTGAGTTATTGTTACAAACTCGGTTTCCTAATTCCTTTATCTTTGGAACCAAATGTCGCAGATATAGGTATTAGAAAGTTTGAGTTTTAGTTAATAACTCAGTTCCTTTTAATAGGGGAAAAAAATGAAAACGAATAGTTTTATTGTAACGATAAATAATAAATAAATGAAAAAAAGTTGTCGAACAGCTTCATGTAATTTGGCAGTGAATTTAAAATATAAATCGCCTTACTAATTCATTTTAACACAAAATATTCGCCTCTGTTGATCCTCAATTAGACTTAGAAAACGGCATTGTGAAAAGCAGGAATATATATAAAATTACCCCCTGGGGTTGAGTGTAGTGTGATGAATATCCACTGTAATAGTGGTTGCTTGGTTGATAACTGCGGGCATACCCATGTCTAAATTGTTAAATGTTAAACTAAAAATTTTCGACGTCTGTATCCGTTTATTAAACAGGTCTGTTTTTGGCGTTCATCAGACTAGCGACTATAAGATCAAGAATTCAGGAGGGTTAACAAAGGAATTTTGATTATGCTACAAACTCTGAATTTCTAATCCCTGTTATATGCAACCCAATACGTCTTAGTCTGAATGATTTAAAACTATCAGGTTGCAAAGAAAGATAGATTCGAAAATTTGAGTTTGTGACAAAACTCAATTCCTTTAGAAATTTTAAGTTTTAAAAGTTTTTTCCTACTCTTAATAGATTAGGATTATGAAAACCTTGTAGTTTCTTGCGAACACACCTTAAAGTCAAAAATCTTTTAATTGAAAAAATAGACTAAACCAGATGCCTAATATGTCACTAGCTTGTAGTTACAACATTTAGAATAATTTCAAGTTTTAAAGTGATAATTTCAAAAAATACCGGAATTTTTGGACAACTGAACTTAGGTCCAACTTGAAAATAGTTGATAAAGGAACTGAGTTTTTGTCACAAAAAGTTTAAAGGGTACCAATGTGAATTTGGCATGACCCTCTTTAATTTTAGGGTCCCTTGAAATCCCGTGGACAGTATCTTTAATCTGATAAGTTTATGCTGACCTGCCATGACTTCTATTCCCTGCAATAATAGCACCAAGAAGGAAACTTCCCTTGAGGGCAAGTGCTCCTGCAAGTAGACCGACAGCTATTGGTCCGAAGAATAATGCTTCAGACACATGGGCAAACCCAACCAGCAGGAATACACTAAAAAATATATACAAGTTTTAGAATTATTCTTAAATTTGTTTGTTAATTTCTTTGCAACTTGATAATGTAAAGCTTGCATTTTTTAAACTTTGATCATTTCATGTTTAGGTTGCTAAGATATAGAGATTTGAAAATAAAAATAAATAAAGAAGAATATTGAAGAATATTGAAGATAATTGAAGAATATTGAAGAATATTGAAGAATATTGAAGAATATTAAAGAATATTGAAGAATATTGAAGAATATTGAAGAATATTGTAGAATATCGAAGAATATCGAAGAATATTGAAGAATATTGAAGAATATTGAAGAATATTGAAGAATATTGAAGAATTTTGAAGAATATTGCTTTGAATACATGGACAAACCCAACCAGCAGGAATACACTAAACAATATATACAAGCTTTAGATTTTATTATAATGGAATTGAGACTTTGCCACAAACTCTGATTTTTTAATCGCTACACCTTTGCAACTAAATGTCGTAGAATTCTGTAGGATCAAATATTTGAACTATAACACCCTTAAAGGATTCACTAGACAATATATAAAAGTTTCAAAATTAATTTTAAATGTTTTTGAATTTTTTTTTTTGCAAGCTGATGGTGTAAATCTTTTATATTTCAAACTCTGATTATTGATCTAACATAATTCATAGTTTGAAATATCTAGGGTCTAGACTATGAAGATTTGAAAATCAGAGTTTGTGTTAAAGATTCAATTCCTTTGTTTGAATTTTTTGTTAGTTTCGATGCAACCTGAAGGTCTAAACCTTTAATATTTCAAATTTTAATCATCTCTTAACAGAATTCATAGGTTGAAATATTTAAGGTCGACTTTAGGTTGCTAAGATAAAGGGATTTGAAAATAAAGATAAGCAAAGATGAATATTACTCCAGATACATGGGCAAACCCAACCAATAGGAATACATTATACACTACAGTCTTTTCAGATTTAATCTGATCATTTGATTTAACAGAATTCATGGTTTGAAATATCTAAGGTCTACGACTTTGGGTAAACTTATTTAAAATAACTTGAGGACTTGAAGTGCATAAAAATTTTCTAGAAGTAAGAAATAAAACAATAATAGTGTTATTAAACTGTAATCCTAATAAAAATACTGAAAGATTAGATTATATTACTTTAAAAGTAATAAATCTTTGCCACAAACTCAATTTTTCTAAGCTTTTTATCTTTACAACCTGATGGTGTGGTGAATTGATTTATTTGACTTGGGTCAACGACATGGGTCGCATGCAAAGTTGGATTCAGTTTATGACAAAAATTCAATTCTTTTAACAAACCTTTTAAATAGTAGATTCTTCATGTTTTCTTCTCTTCTCTTCCTTTAACACTGTCCAACTTGAGAAGACGAGTCAGCATTTATAGTGGAATAGTTTATTGTCTGGTGGGACGGGAGGGGGTTGCATGGGGGGGGGTTATAAATGTCGAGAATGATGGACACAGTAGAGAATGGAAATTGGTGAATCCCCGACTTTTAACGGGTTTGCTGATAGCCTAAGGCACTTCTATAAGCAACTTGCGTGCTTTCTCCTTTAGAGTGTTCCACATAACATGAGATTTTGCAAGATCTACAGGGTTCCCCATAATTATGAGACTGAAAAGACGACATGAGGCACGGCGACGGTTTAATTCTGCGGATCAAGAGGTTCCCGAGGTCATTTTCTGGGGCTCATGGCGGCCCTGCACCCCTTTCCTCATATATGGGATACAAAACAATCGTCTTTTAATTGTAACATTTATTGGAACAACCTGTGGTCCCCCCCCCCCTCCATGCAGAGATCTGGACTGGGGTTCACCGCATACCCAGACACTGCATGCATTGACTATTATTAAAGGCGCAAATAAGGGGAAACCTTATTCCCCCCCCCCTACCCCCCATCCCCGCTCTAGACTGTGTCACAATAACGATTGTGGACCATCTTTTGTCAAATTTGCCAAAAAAAATTAACACCATTCTTTTTGACTCCTCGTGCTATACATTCAGATAAGAATTTCTTACTATTTTTTTCTTTTTCAGCTTGAAGTAAGTTATAAAGATGACCACGATGTAACCCCCCCCCCCCGCGCAAAAGAATGCTTTTTTAAAGACTTATAACTATTAACTTTTATAACTGAATATCCATGTATAAACTGGATGTATCTGGATTCGGGAACAAATGATGAAGACGGTGTAGGAGTATATTAAAAGGATAGGCGGTTATAAACATGTAATCTTGTGTTAATCGTTGGCGATCGTTTTTCAAAAAACTTTTAATAAAATGTCCAACATTTCAAACCTGTATTAGTATTATGTTAAAGTTTGCTTTTATCTAATTATGTCATTGTAATGAGTATTATCAAGTGCGGTGTGAAAATACGTTCGTTGTGAAAATACTTTCATTTTGATCATGAAAAAACTAGAAAGAATAAAAATCACAGTAAAACTTTTTCGCACGCATGATACCCATTTCAATAACATGTATAGTTTTATTCAGTTTTACTCAAATTATTTAAAAGCAGGTCGATAAAGTTACGTAATCACTCTGTTGTAGGGTGATTATATAACTTTATAATGCGACAAATTAGGTATGAAATTTAAAATTTTAATTTCAGGGTGAAAAAGTTACTTTTTCGCCCTGTTGTAGGGCGATAAAGTCACTTAATCACCTTACAACGGGAAATATTAGGTGTGATAAATTCCATCAAAATTGAATAAAGTTCTTTATTGTTTCTGAAGCAAGAAATGCCACTTTTTAAGAGAACCCATACAAATTAAAATTATCAGTTTTCAAAAAAAAGATGCTTTCAATCATCATCGCTTTAAATTAATTAAAATTTAGGAAAAGCTTTGCATAAATATAGTCTAGCTTCTGTCTTTCTTTTCATTTCGGAAAGATGTTAAAATAAATTGAAAATTCAGATACAATTCTAGGATCTGTTTTTTAAAAAGACACCTAGCTCTCCATGATCTCCATTCGAGATTTTTATTTAGACGCAACAAGAACTTTATCAAAAATCAAATCTTTGAAAGAATTTCTCTGAGCACTGGGCAGTTTGCTCGCTAAACTCAAATATTTCACCATGTTCAATTGTTAAAGCGTGAGTTTCTGTCTGACAATAAGACGATGCTTGGGGCCCATTCAGAAACTTGCTTGGTTATTTTTTTTGCATATTTTTCAGAATTAGAAAAATTTGCTTTTCTTACAATTTCATTTTGCATAATTTTGACCCCGACAGAAAATATATGGATGGTAAAATAAAAATATTGCAAAGTTTATTTATCAGAATAAGAACACTTTTCAAGCCAGAAAAACTTTGATGTCTTCCGCATTATTGATCAGATTAAAGTTTTGGGGGTATCTCAAGTGAATCGAATATCCCCCTTTTTAATAAAGGATCAATTTAAGTTACGACGAGAGTCCATTTAAGCCGATTTTAATCTTCTATTTCAACTCTAAATTAGCACATTAAAATAAATTTTAATCCCGCATTTTTACTCACAACTTCATGATCAATTGTCTTATTTGTTCCGAGGCAAATAAATAACATTTTATACCGGCAAAGCATTATTTCGTGGATTTTAATAAAAAATGCACATTTTTAGGAAACTTGAATTGTATAAATTTATATAACTAACTCTGCTTAGTGTTTTCATTTGAGAAATTATGCATAATTTTTACTTTTTTGTTTGCTTTCGGTTGAAATTCAAGATTTTTAATCATGGTCCGTAATTACACCGAAAACAAACGAAAAAAGTAAAAATCCCGGCCAAAAACATTTTGTCCCGCAAGATAACACATGCAGGTTGCATAATAGATATTTATCTCTCAACAACATTTTCTTTCCCCATTTTTTTATTTCATTTCTGTCTTCTTAATTTTTCATCTTAAGTTATTCATTCCTCCAGCACATTTTATCCAATTGTTGCACCGTAATTCTTCCTTTTTTTACTTGAACGCCTCTAAATACTTTCACTTTTCTTTTCACCTTTTCATCCCTGGATTCTTTGATCTTTAAAACATTTGTTATTTGATCTTTTTTTCTAATATTCTTGATCATTTCACACATATTCAAAATACAATCTTTTCTGTGACAACACTTCAACTTTCATGGGGACATCAAAGAAATTATATATAATTGCAATTCAATTGCTATGTCTTCTTAATAAATCCGGACAAAAAGTTGGAATGGAAAAGTAATTGAGTCTTTGCAACAAACTCTGAGTTTCTAATCCGATATATCTGAGCAACCCAATGTTGTAGACCTTAGATATTTCAAATTATGATCTCTATTATATCAAATAATCTAAGTTTTTAATGTCATTGGTTTACACCCTCAGGTTGCAAAGATATCATTAGAGGGTCAGTACGAGACCAGTGTAATGTACCTTTGTCATATGTAAATTTACAATCTTTTTGTAAATAGTTATATATAAGTAAATTGTAAATTGTAAGTTGTATATATAGACGTGTAAATTGTAAATTGTATATAATTATTTGTTAATGTAACCCTATATGCATGGATTAAAAAAAGTATATATATGATTTGTAAATAGTAAATGTTTAAGTGTATTAAAGCAATATTTTAATATGAACTAAATTAATTTGTAATTTGTAAATTATTAATTGTAAATGTAGATATGTAAAGTATTTTTATGTTGAATGAACTGTAAATTGTAAATTGTAAATGCATAACTGTATAATGGAAATATTTTAATATTGACTAAAAACTAATTTCTAATTTGTAAATAGAGAAAATTTAGTTTTCCGGTAAAATCGTTCAAGTACACGTAAACGGCGGGAGTAACTTTTAGAAACCTGAGTCCGAATTTAATGAATTTGAGCCGCGCCTTAAATCCGCTAAAAACCGGTTTCAATTGAGCGCTGGCTTAAATCTTGAAACATTGGATACAATTTTAAGTGGAACCAACCATATTTAATCCGCGACTACAATTTAAGCCGCGGCTTAAATTCTTTAAATTCGGTCTCTGGGCAGCGCTGGGTTCCCAAGCTAGTTACAAACATGGCTAAGAAAATCTTAATTTAAAATCAAAGAGTTTTAGAAGAGAGTCATGAAGAAAGTGCTAATTACAAATTGAACATATAGTTTGTTTTAAACTTTATCATATTTATTTTCAAGATGTACATATTTTTTAATTGAGATTTCTGTGCAGACCCATTCTAAGGGTTAGGTTTAGGTTTAACCTTCTCCAGGAGTAGGTTTATGTTTAACCTTCTCCAGGATTATGTTTAGGTCTCCACCTTCTCCAGGATTAAGTTTAGTCCCAAATCTTCTCAAGATCTACGCCAGCATCAACTAAAACCTTTTTAAGTTCTTCCTTTTCTCTCTGAAATCAAATTTGACATATTTAGAAATGACAACTAGATATTCTTGTTTCTAAATGAGAAAAAATGTGAGATCAGATTATGGCAGTAATGAATATCCTTTTGAAAAGCGAAAATATGAAAGCAATCACTTGTGAGGCACTACGTATTTTTATATTTAAAAGGACTGAGGCCGAATTTAAAGAATTTGAGCCGCGGCTTAAATCCGCCAAAACCCGGTTTAAATTAAGCGCCGGCTTAAATCTTGAAACATTTCATGCAATTTTAAGTGGAACCAATCATATTTAAACCGCGGCTTAAATTTAAGCCGCGGATCAAATTCTTTAACTTCGGCCTCAGGAAGTGTAATTTCAAGTGACCCTCCATGCAAAGATGGCGCATTGCCAGATTTACAATAATACCCTTGAAACCTTAATCTGATCAAATCTGATGGAAGATAACGTCGTTTTCCTGACTCCAAAAGTGTTTAATTCTGATAATTTCTCCTCTGCTTCTTTTAAACATGAAACGCGCAAGTCCCTTTTGCAGAGAATTTGCAAATGAAAATAAAAGAAACTAAAACATGGATATATGATTCATACTTAATCAGCTGTCAAGGGTACCGTTGTAAATCGGGCATTGACATCTGTGCAGTGAGGTCAATTGATTTTACTCGTACATTCCCTTTAAAGTATAAATCGTTCATGGCACTTTTCAGGGCTACTAAACATTCTGTTAATGATCTCTTTAAAAATAAAAATTAAAAAGTTCATAACCTTCTGTTAATCCTTCAAGTTCCTTTTCAATTCTATCCAGGTCTTCCATCTCAACATCAACCATAGCAATAATATCTTCCACACTAGTTCCACATCTGAACATATTTATAATAATATTCCATCTCAACATCAACCATAGCAATAATATCTTCCACACTAGTTCCACATCTGAACATATTTCTAATAATATTCCATCTCAACATCAACCATAGCAATAATATCTTCTGCGCTAATTCCACATCTGAAAATATTTCTAATAATATTCCATATCAACATCAACCATAGAAATAATATCTTCAGCATTAATTCCACATCTAAATATTTTAATCTTTTATTCATGATGAAAATTTTTCCCTATACTGAGAGAAAAATATCGAAAGTTTGTATTAAAATCTAAATTTTGTTATTTACATTTTAAAAATAGATTTAAAAAAGAAGACATTTTCGTCTTTCAAATTAAGTATGAGAGAAGAATAAACCAGAATATTAGTAAACATGTTTCACTAATTTTATTGGTTACCTCTTCAATACTAAATAAAAAAGAAAAAAGAAAAGTTCGAAGTCTTTGCAAGATTTTCTTTGATTTTTGATTTTTTAATATTTATTTTCACATTTGATATTTTAAACTTTTTGTTGGGTAATATCTTTTAAATTTTAAAGGAAATTTACGCTTTTATGGACTGAATTGGACCAAAATTAAAATATCCGAGCAGATCTACTTCATTGTAGATAGTTTTATCTGGTATGGTTAGGTAATACAAATATATTAACTTGAAATATTTTTATTTTGGGAGTAGACAGAAATTATCAAAAGTAAAACTGAAATATTAATATTTTAGAAATTAGAATACCTTTCATAATATTCCTTGCACATTTTCTCTCCCTGCTGGATTCCAACCTGGGCTGCCACTGTTAGCTGGACCTGGATACAGCAGGAATTGATTTATTGATTGCTATAAACAGGGTTACCCACAAAGAATGAGACTTCAGAGACGACTTTACAAAACTTAAACTGTTTTTTTCCTCATATAAATGATTCTCTGCAAAACTGAAAACTTGTTTCTCTATTTGCCAAAACATTTAATAAATGATAAAAAATTACTATCTTTACGGCAGAAGATCTACAGTCTTTACCCTCAGGAGATACTAAATAAAATAATGTTTATCAATACTGTAAATTATTATGTTAAAGTGGTGGCTGGGAAACAATATTGATATTGGAATCTCTTTCACAGAGTTATTTATTATTCAACTTCTGAACAAAAATTAAACCTTGATTTTTAAATCTAAATTGTTGCAGAATACAAAATGTAGAATCTACTACCCATGAAGTATCTGTAACCTGATACCTGCACTGAAAGGTTTTTATTTACTTCTTAAAAGAAACTTTGAAAAGTCAAATCTCAAACTTGTTCTTCATCAAATCATTATAAATATTTCTTAAAATACTTGTTATTAACCCCCTGTATTTTAGCAACTCTATATTGGGATCAAGAATAAAGAGAGAATACCCAAGTGTTGATTCAAGGGGAAGGGAGAAAGATGGCTGGGTAGAAAAAAACTAGGATAAAGAGAGAAAGAGAATTGGAAGGTCTTTGAATAATTAAAACTAACTTGGACACTTAGTGAGGTCCAAGTAAGGTACTAAAACACTCGTGAAACAAACACCGCCCAGGGAGAACTGGTTTCAATATGTGCGCAGAGAATACGCAGCAGCAATTAATTTTCCTTGCCTTATTACCTTGCGTACAATGTTCTTCAATATTACATAAAGATTTTCAGTGAAGTTGAAAAACGACGACATTCCATTAATATTTGAAAAAATATCTCACCCCTCCGGATTTAAAATCAATTTCCTTGTTGAAGGTTTCAGTCATAATAATCACGTTATCAGTCATACTAAATATAAAAATAAATAAAGATGAAAATTTATTTACATATCGTCATTGATCCGCGCGTTCAGGTTTATAGTGATTTATTCAAAACAGTTTATATATTTCAAAATTATTTTTGAACATTTTTTTTTATTCCAAAAATTTTTAGTCCAGATTTCAATATTTCAAAAAGCTTTAATGTGTAATATTTCGTCCGCTTAAAAGATACTAAAAGGGTTAGTTTTAGGATGACACATTTTTATATACAATGAATGAAAAAATGTGTCTTGAATTTTAAGAATGTTAATTGAAACCAAATTTTAAAAATTGATTCAAACCAAAAAATTTCTTTTCCCTTTTCTTATTAGTTGAATATTTGGCAGAAAGCTCACAAACTAACTTTTTACTGCAATTATCCTGAAAAAATCAAATGTATTGAATTTGCAGTTCATGTATTGAGTTTGAAGTCCATGTACTGAGTTTGCAGTCCATGTATTGAGTTTGAAGTCCATGTATTGAGTTTGCAGTCCATGTATTGAGTTTGCAGTCCATGTACTGAGTTTGCAGTCCATGTATTGAGTTTAAAGACCAAAAATTTAGTTTGAAGTCCATGCATTGAGTTTGAAGTCCATGTATTGAGTTTGCAGTCCATGAATTGAGTTTGCAGTCCATGTTTTGAGTTTGCAATCCATGTATTGAGTTTGCAGTCCATGTATTGAGTTTGCAGTCCATATACTGAGTTTGCAGTCCATGTATTGAGTTTGCAGTCCATGTATTGAGTTTGCAGTCCAAGTATTGAGTTTGCAATCCAAGTATTGAGTTTGCAGTCCATGTATTGAGTTTGCAGTCCATGTATTGAGTTTGCAGTCCATGTATTGAGTATGTATACCATGTTTTGAGTTTGAAGTCCATGGATTGAGTTTGCAGTCCATGTATTGAATTTGCAGTCCATGTATTGAGTTTGCAGTCCATGTATTGAGTTTGCAGTCCATGTATTGAGTTTGCAGTCCATGTATTGAGTTTGCAGTCCATGTATTGAGTTTGCAGTCCATGTTTTGAGTTTGTATACCATGTTTTGAGTTTGCAGTCCATGTATTGAGTAAGCAGGCCATGTTTTGAGTAAGCAGTCCATGTACTGAGTTTGCAATCCAAGTATTGAGTTTGCAGTCCATGTATTGAGTTTGCAGTCCATGTTTTGAGTTTGCAGTCCATGTATTGAGTAAGCAGGCCATGTTTTGAGTAAGCAGTCCATGTATGAAGTTTGAAGTCAATGTATCGAGTAAGTAGTCCGCGTATTGTGTTTTAGTCCATGTATTGAGTTTGAAGTCATTGTATTGAAGAAGCAGTCCATGTATTGAGTTTGCAGTCCATGTATTGAGTTTGCAGTCCATGTATTGAGTTTGAAGTCATTGTATTGAAGAAGCAGTCCATGTATTGAGTTTGAAGTCATTGTATTGAAGAAGTAGTCCATGTATTGAGTTTGAAGTCCATGTATTGAGTTTGAAGTCCATGTACCTGATCCTTGCTGGTCATCTCGGCATTCCATTTATCAAAATCTAAAGTTTCGCTTTCTCTACTAGAAAGTTTGTATTGTATGGGTCCCATAAAATGTTGGAATAGAAACACAACTGTTAGACTCGACTCAAAGAAGTTCGTAGTAAGATTTCGATTCTATACTGGAGTCCACCGGAGGGATTTTATTTTCACTGGAGGTTTTGGAAAAAATGGTTTTTACAATTTAAAACTTTACGCAGGGTGATTTACATTCTGTAAAAAGAAATTTAGGTTAGTTTAGTCCTTCTCATGTCCTTCTTCAGTTCTCGTCAATATGATATATTGCTCAGTGAACTAATTTGATATTCTCAAAATAAAATTCACTCCTGAATGGTTTAATAATTACGAAATCCATTAAAACACCAAACCACCCCGCTTATCATTGAAGTATTTATTTATTTATCTATGGTTATAATTCCACTGGAGGGATTCAGTTATCCTTCCTAGAGGTTTATAATTCCATTGGAGGGATTCAGTTATCCTTCCTAGAGGTTTATAATTTCACTGGAGGGATTCATATTTTCATATTTTATTCATATTTATTAATAAAAAAAACTCTGTTTAGTCAACCATCAAAATAATACCTTATTATTAGGTAGATATCCCATATTTTAAGATGAAAAAAAATATATTTTTAAATTTAAAAAGATCTTTTGATTTCTAGAACATATTATTTCTCAGTATAGAAGATTTTTATTATTATTGTTTTTCATAAAAAATGTTCTATAGTCTATGAAATGTCATATCTAGAAAATGTCCTGTCTATGAAATGTCATATATAGGAAAAGTCCTGTCTATGAAATGTCATGAAATGTCATAAAAAGGAAATGTCCTGTCTATGAAATTTCCTATCAATGATATGTCCTGTCTATGAAATCTCATAAATAGGAAATGTCCTGTCGATGAAATTTCCTATCAATGATATGTCCTGTCAATGAAATGTCATAAATAGGAAATGTCCTGTCTATGAAATTTCCTATCAATGATATGTCCTGTCAATTCGTCACTGAATTCCCATGTTTTTTGGGACACCCTGTAGAAATTTATTTATGTACAGTTTAACCTATTAACCTGTAGAATAAAAAGACGAGATTTAAAATTTGATGTGTTTTTAATCAACTTAAAGTAAAATGGGTCTGTTATCATTGAACAATACCCAATTGCTGTATGCCATATTACTTTGGTCTATTTAAAATCATAACTTTAGCCTAAAATTCGTCTTCCTATCCCATAGTGATTTGAATCTTACTGTACCAGAATTTCGATCCATGAAACAGGTTTGTTCTAAAGTCTTTAAAAAGTTGCCTGACCAGAGCTGGGAACTTTTGAGTGGTGGATATCGGGATTGATGCTTAATCCACTCTTTTTCTTAATCTCCAGATTAAATAATGCTTGTTCTCCTCATGAATTTAATCTCCAGATTAATTAACAGATCGGGATTAAGGATATCACATTCTAAAGTTTTCAGCTCTGAATTCTCATTTAACCTTAATTTCGTGACTTGAGATTATCTAGGCTCGGAATCTGAAATAAATTTTCTCTATTATAAGGTTACTCTGAACATTGAACCAACCAGGGGCGTACGAGGGCATAAAATATTTTTTTGGGGTTCCCCCCCCCCTTGGCAACATTGTGTCCCCCCTTAAAAACCCTTCTTTTTAAATATTGGTACCTTTTTTAATTTTTTTTTGCAACCCCCCCCCCAGGACTTGTTTTGTTCACCATATACACCAAAAAGACTACATTTTGGGTGTTACTAACCTTACAGAGTCTAAAAATTATTCCTTTGCTTGAAAAACTAACTTTTTAACTTTAAATAAACAAACAAAAAGATTATTCAAAATAAAAATTTGGGCTGTCAAATGGACATAAGGGAAAAGAACTCAGATTATGAGATGGAAAAAAGATTTTTTTTTCAAATATTCACTTTCTAAAAAAAATGTTTTAAAACAATTATTATTCCTTGAGATTGTTTCTTCACAAAGATTAAAAACAAACTGTGTAGATGTGTGAATATAGAGTTTGGGTGGGGGTCGATCTAATTAACGAACTTTTGCGTTTACAGCATAAAAACAAATCTCAAAATTTACCCGCCCGTAAAACAATTGTATAAAACCCGATCTGGAATACGCCCATGTTCTGACTCTTAAGACCACGCAGCACACATGCTTATTCTAATTGAATTTTTAATTTTTAATCTTTTTGAGAAGAAATTCTTGTAATTTTCCACAGTGTTTAAGTCCTAAAAATGTTCGTTTTCTTATTCATTTGATGAGTGATTTTCCTTTTTCTATTTCTTCGTCAACCTATTAAAGACGATCTATCATAGATTCAAGAATATGGTGCGGCATTTGGCGCCATTCAGTTTGAATTTCGAAACGGTTGTTAACGGCCTATTTTCCAGCAGTATTTGCTAAAGATAACTCTGTTTACTCATTTTAATTCGTTATATTTATCTAAACAGTAACAGTTAGTTTGTATTCATCCTTTCATCAATCTAGGGAGTTTAAAGATGGATCCAAATGTACTAAAAATGATCGAAAGATCGCGGGCTCGAAGCTCAGCCAAGAAAGGTGGAACACGGATCGATCCAATGGGTAAACTCAGCCCTCGAAAGATCGACACGGAACCTAGAAGCCCTCTGAAACCCAGGAATTTTGACGGATTGTCCCCGATTAAGGGAAGCCCTAAGAAGGCGGAGCTCCCCGCCTCTCCGTCTGATACCATTAAACGTCTTCTGTCTCGAGAGAGCTTAGAAACTAGCGTCAAGGATTTACTGGCCAGGTATATTTTATATCTTTCAAGATATAAGTGTTACATGATTTAACAAGAAATTCAAATAGTACGGCTGCGGGTTCGGATTCAGTTGCATGAAATTATGTATGTTTGTCAGCTTGTATCTGTTCTTAATGTCTGTCTCTGCAAGATCAAATTAAAAATGACGATCAATCAAACTTGTATGTGTAATTTCCTAGAGAATGAATTGGACCAACCCCGGGCCCCCTCCCCCCCTCCTATCAATTGTGTGCATAGATAACACATGGATATAATTAATCATGTTCTCGCAGCGCCCGGCCCCCTAGCCTGTCCTAGCCGCGGCGCTCGACTCCCTATCATGTCCTAGCCGCAGCGCTCGGCCCCTCTAGCCTATCCGAGTCACAGCGCTCGGTCCAGAAATTGTCTCAATCTAACCTATCCATATACTAATTAAAATTAATGTAAAAAATGCGGGGGGGGGGGGTCCAAAAATCGTAATCTAGGACGGACCCTAGCCTCGGAATAACCTATGCAGGTCTTACCGGCCGTCCGTATCCTAGCATAGTTGCGAAGTTCTATAAAACTTAAAATCTCGTCTGGGATACCTTATCGAGCTATTTTTTCTAACACACGTTCAATATTTCTTTTCGTATTTCTTGGGTATTTCATTGCCGATTCCTTTTATTTATTCTTGACATTTTTCATGGATTTTTAACATTTGCTTCCCGTCCTTAATGCTTAATCCCATATGTCCAAATGATATCTAGGTCTGTTCTAGATAATGATTTTTGGACCCGGCCCCCCTCCCCCTCCTATCAATGCTGTACATGAGCAACTACTTAATCATTTTACATCTACATTATCATTATTAATTTTTTTGTATTATTTTTGGGTTAGGTCAGGTTAAGACAATTTTTAGGCGAAGCACTTTTGTTAGGACAGGCTAGTGGGCCGAGCGCCGCAGCTAGGACATGCTAGGGGACTGCACGCTACGGCCACTTGTCTAGCTTGTAATGAGGGGGGTAGGGGCGGGAACAAAAACTCGTTGTATAAGAAATTTCCTTAAAACTTTAATTGAATTTTTATTCATTGCAGAGACAGTCCTGGAAAAACAATTAAAACACACACTTACTCCTCCACCACCTCCAGCCCCTCCAGAACCACCATCACCAAGACCGTGGTCACCGAGACTGAGGAGAGGTATGAGAAGAAGGAAACTATATCCGTCTCTGGGAACAAGAAGTTCCTTCAAGAGTTTGACAACGGTAAGGTCGAGGACCAACTTAAGAAGGTTGAGTCAGCGTTCAACGAGACCCGGAGAATTGAACCCCAATCCAAACCATACAGTGGAAAGAATAATTCAACCCCAGGAAAGGAAACTGAAACTCTGCCAGAAGATACAGATTATTTCGCTGCCCGCAAAGCTCGTCTAGCCAACCTTGCGAACAAATTTAAGGCAATGGACGAACAAAGTCCAATCCGTAGTCCAGTCCGCAGCACTAGCCCAGAGAATACTAGGACCAGAAGTCCGATTAGAACCATACCTGTAAATTCTGAAAAAGATGATTCTCCGGCTGGCCCAATGCGTCCTGCTTTCAACAGATCGGTTTCTCCTTCTAAAATCGTGACAAACGTGACTGCTAGACCATACGTATCTCCAACTAAGTCTTCCGCTGTATCTCCCGTTAAAGCTCCTTCACCTGACAAACCCAGCGCTTACAAATACAAGAAACCTGAGGATGAATCATTTATCAGTAGTCTGAAAGCTCAAGGATTTACGGAAACTGAGTCTGCTTCGCGTCTTGTTTATGATTTCCAAGAGAGACAGAGATCTCCGTCTCCGGCCAAATCTCCGGTTAGACAGATTTATGCTAGACAAGATAAACAAGATGAGACAAGAGGCAGCGTTCATGAGGCAAAATCTAAGTTTGAGCAAGCAAAAGGACGAACTTCAGAGACAAGAGGACGAGCCCCTGTCAAGACGACAGTTTTGAGTAGTCCAACCAAGACTGCTGTATCAGCAACCAGATCTGTATCCCCCAGTAAACCTCATCCTCTCCAGTTCGTTTCTCCCCAGGTAGCAGCTCAAGCAGCAGCAGCAGCATCTAGTATACCTCCTCCTCCGCCTAAACCTTCCAGAACATTCGACTCCAATCCGGCCCCTGTCACCAAGTCTTGGATAACCAAGGCTAAGGTTGACGACAAGATGTCGGACGCAAAATCCGATGATCGTTGCGACACCCCTGTGCGCAAAACAATGAGCGAAAAGAGACACATGTTCGAAAACCAAACCCCGGAAGTTGAACCTGTTGATCCCGCCATGATGTCGATGTCGGACCGGAAGAAGTTGTTTGAGAAGAATCGATCCATACCGACCCCGATCGCAAGGTTTGGAGAATCTGTGACCCCTGCGATGTTATCTAAAGCTAGGCCTGTAGTGGAGACGATGACCCCGGCAGAGGCCTGGAAGAGGAAAAGAGAATTCTCTCCGGTTAAGAATCAACCTCCAGCTAAGAAGCAGAGTCCTGAGAGTTATGTTAACTCTGGCGCTAAAACTAAGCTGGTTCAGGACACCAGGAGACCAAACCCTGATCCATCTCCTGCAACCCCACAGGCAGGACGAAAGGTAAATCTTAAGGTTGAATATGAACCATCATGAATATTCAAATTTTAAAAATTGCAAATAGATTGATTAATCTTCGTTTTGAATTATAAGCTTCGAAAGCGTTTAGAATTCATACTAAATTTTTTGTTTTGTTTTGATCCTGGCTTAGATAATTTGCTACTTTTGTGTAGATCAAAGAGGTAATATCATTATCATTGTAACAAATTGAAAAATCCATTTTTTCAAGGTTAAATCAAGATGACTTTCATTCTGTTAACTACTACAGGACATGTTTTTAAAAAAAAATTGATCCATTTAAACGCGTTTTTAAATGCAAAGATGATTTTTGTGAAAATAGTTCAGACACATTTTAGATAAAACATAACATCTAAAGCTTGGCAGACAAATTACCCATTTATTTTTCCCCTAAGCTTTTGACTTTTAATGCAACACATAAATACTCTAAAAGGTTTCAACATTCAAAAACTAAACTTAAAGGTTTTAACATTTAAAAACTAAACTTAAAGGTTTCAACCTTTAAAAACTAAACTTAATGGTTTCAACATTTAAAAACTAAACTTAATGGTTTCAACATTTAAAAAATAAACTTAATGGTTTCAACATTTAAAAAATAAACTTAAAGGTTTCAACATTTAAAAACTAAACTTAAAGGTTTCATCATTTAAAAAATAAACTTAAAGGTTTCAACATTTGAAAACTAAACTTAATGGTTTCAACATTTGAAAACTAAACTTAAAGGTTTCAACATTTAAAAACTAAACTTAATGGTTTCAACATTTAAAAAATAAACTAATAGGTTTTAACATTTAAAAACTCTATTCTATGTTAGTAAGCTTTTTAAAACTTTGCAATACTTTCATCCTAAGAAAAAGTATAAATGAAAACGAACAAAAAACTATCTTTTTGGTTTTTTCTTTTCTAAGGATCAAAAACTGGAATTGTAAAACTTCAGATTTTTATGGAACCTTATAAACGCCCAAAAACCTCAAATTAATTACCTATCACTTACAGCCAACCCTTTAAATTCTGTAAAACAAAATATTTTAGGCTACAGAGATTCACAAGAAACTGTTTGAGAAGAAGGACTGGAGAGAGAATGATATTGCCAGGAAGGTTCAGGAGGATAAACAGAAGGAGATGGAACTTCTCCTTAACAGATATAATCATCTGAAATCTAGCGCAGACGGTGAAACTTCGTCACCTGCTCCTAAGCCTGCTCCCAAAACAGCGCCTAAGCCACAAAAGAACAAGGTAAGCTACAATACATTTTAAGTTCTCCAATAGTGAAGGAAAATGAAGAAAAATTGTGAAGTCAAATTAAAAGTTTTTAGGGGGGGGGGGGATTAATTCATTTTAAACTGGAACCCTTCTTCCTTTTTTATTTTTACAAACAAAATAATATTTAATTACCCCAAAAAGATATTTGAGACATTTTGAGGGAAATGATTTTTCAAGAAAATATATACCCCAAACAAAAAGATAGAAATTGTATTTTATTTTTCTTTCTACCTTTTGAGTGAACTGGTCTATGGATCCAGGTCGTTTGCTGCATGCTGCATGCTGCATGCTGACGCGCTCTTATCTATATCGAGTTCTCTTCCGGATCTGTTCATTATTTCTTATTTCTAGGAGTCGCCTGAGAAGTACTACCCCGGACTCAGCTCTTTAAAGAAGATTAAAGTCTCCCCTCCTAAGGCTGGAGGTCTCTACCCTGAGCTGGCCTACGAGTCTGATACAATGTCCTCGAGGTCAGAATCCGTCATGTCCTCCGACACTCTCAACTCAAGCTTCGAGAGTATTGGAACAATCACAAGTGAAGCATCAAGCCTCGGCGGAGCAATTATCTCGGCTTCGAGGAAGTCGGTAAGTTAAGAAATTGGAAAATTTGTAAATCATTTTCTGATGAAAAAGGAATTTTATTTGGAGTTAAGTAAAAAAATAAGACCGCTAGCCTCGAAAGAAAAAGCAAGAAAAGGTCGGAAAAATTAAAGAAATAAAATTTTTTTCGTTTTGGACAACTAAGAAGATGTGATAAGGTTTCATACATTTTTATATTTACAATCTGTAGTTTAAATAACAAAAAAGTTATGGACTTTTTGATTTTTGTTAAACACCGCCTCTTGACTGTCTGTACCCTATCCTATGCTTAGATTATAATGACTAAATTTTTAGACTTTTTTCTTTTATTACGAATTTTCTCATTCTTATATTTCTTAATATTCCAATGGCAACCAGGATTAGATTGCTTTTTTCCAATTAATTTATACCAAGAAAAACTAGGATGGCCATTTTAGGTATTAATGTCTGGTATTCAAAAGTTGTGAAATCTATAATAAATCCTGGGAAATTGAGTTGACTAATTAAATTACTAAGGTTTTGTGTTGTCGATGCTGGATTGGTAGATTCGTGGAACAATCTAAGAGAAATCTTGGATAAACGATGGTTGGGAAACCTAAGCCCCAAGTTCCCAGAAGAAATTCTGCGCCTATACATTTTTCGAAATGTGTAATCATAACATTTAAAAAAGTTTAGAATCATATTTATATTCAGGTTGTTCCTGATTTGAAAACTATTCCTGAGAGTAATGATAGCATGAATACCGAGGATGGAGATGATATATCAGAATCAGGTAGTTACATACAGAATATCATGGTTTACGAAAATAAAATAATATTCTTCAATATTGATTAAAACGACTAAATGAATGATAATTGAAAGGACATAGTTGAATAAAATATGGATGAATGGATAATATTTAGAAGTAATGGATTATCAGGATAATATGCCATCGATAATTTATGGCTAGTTAGTAATACGGTTCTAACTATATGGATGATATTTATCCGTTGGATGATATTGATCAGACGGATGTCGAAGCTTGACATTGGATCCATCTTTCACATAAAAAATCAATAAAATATTCTTGTCTTAGATAACTATTATGTGAATTATCAAAATTTATTGCTTTTAACCTCCTAGGATAATAAACGAACACTGGTGCATATATTCTTGTTAACAGCTGAACTGGTTTCAATATGTACGCAGAGTATACGCAACTGCAATTAACTTTCCTTGCATTAGTTATAACCTTGTATGAATATAGGGATGATGACTATATGGATGATATTTAGGAGTTATGGATGAGATTGATGATATACTAGAGGAAGCTATGGATGATTCTAACTATGAAGGAAGTGTTGATTATTCTCCTCATAAACCTAAAGGTATGAACTCCTGTATTTTTTGGAAAAACAATTTCTCCTCTCTTCTGATTTTTTTCTTTAACATGTTACGTATTACTTTTTTGTGGTATTTTTTTTAAGGGTAAGTATTTGAAAGGGGGGGGGGGGATTAGCTCGTTGATGACCAATTTTAAATTTGAAATATGCACCACTCACTGATGTCAGAACTTTTCGGTATAGAATTGTTGATCTTTACGCTTGATCTCGATATCCAATGTGAGCACTTTCAATTAACAATTTCTATTGTAGGATCCAGCAGTAGCTCCGGGTCCAGTAATGTAGGACGAAGTGAATCGACAACCAGCTGGGAGTTCCATACTCCACAAGCAAAACAACCTCAGAGGTGGGATTATTTATTACATCTATTATCCAGAGTCAAGTTAATAAGTTGGACCCCTGACATAACTTAAAAAGTAAAGGTGTTCATTTTTTGTTATTCCTTATCCTACTTACACATGCCTCTAAGATTTTATGCCCACTGCCTAAATTCTAGGGCATATTGCCTGCATCTTCATTTCAGCTATGCCTCTACTGCCTGAATTCTAGGGCATATTGCCTGCATCTTCATTTCAGCTTGCCCAACTAAATATTTTTTATTCAGGGAGGATAACTCTAGGTTTAAGACTCCTCTAGTTCTGGCTAGGGACTCCCCTAATAAGGAGCCAAGGGTACAAATAGAAGGAGCTGAAGGACCTATGCTGCATACTGTCAGTTTCTACAGGTACAGTGTTTTCTATCCATATATTCGAGCTTTTCTTCTTATCTATCTACTTTATTTCTATCTATATATTTCAATCCATATATATTTGATCTTTCCTTTTTATCTATCTTTATTTCTATCTGTATATTTCTATCCATATATATTTGATCTTTCCTTTTTATCTATCTACTTAATTTCTACCTATATTTCTATCCATATATATTTGATCTTTCCTTCTAATATATCTACTTTATTTCTATCTATTTATTTCTATCCAAATATATTTGATCTTTCCTTTTTATCCATCTCTTTATTTCTATCTATATATTTCTATCCATATATTCGATCTATATATCTTTCTTTCAGGTCTCTATATCTGTTCTAACAATTTTGTATTTGTATATTTAGCTATTTGACCCAACAAAAACCATCACAACCAGACAATCTGCTTTTTACCTAAATATCCAAATAAAAAAAATCAAACTTAGAAATAAGAAACAAATTCTTCAGCAACCGTGTATTCGATACCTGGAACAAGCTACCCATTTACATCAAAGATGCTCCACACCTATAGCTTTTAAAATCTCCTAATGACAAAACCTGGATGGAGATGTAGAAAAATATAAACCAGAGAACTCTGCAAAACTACTACTTGAGTACCCTGGAGTCACAAATACAAACAAACAAAGCTGTCTATCTACTTTCATTTAACCTATCTTAATTTATCTTTCTATCTTTCTATCTTTCTATCTTTCTATCTTTCTATATTTCTATATTTCTATATTTCTATCTATCTATCTATCTATCTATTTATCTTATCTATCTTATCTATCTTATCTATCTTATCTATCTTATCTATCTTATTTATCTTATCTATCTATCTATTTATATATATATATATATATCTTTCTATCTATCTATCTATCTAGGAAGCAAAGACCTGCAAATCCTCCTGTACAGCGTATAGTACTGAACCCAGTACTAGAACAAACTGTAGTAGCTGCTGAGAGTCCTAGGAGAACTATTTCACAGAAAATCAAGGTTTTTATTTTAAAACATTTTTATTCTTATTTAAGTTTTTAAGTAATAACTGTATAAAACTAAATTGTGAAGAGTTTTTGCAAAAACTTTAATTTTATCTTAATTCCCTGCGAAAAGATAAAAGAAGTATTTTTTTATGGAAAAAATGAGTTTTTTAAGATTAAGTTGAAATATTTTTCTTGAAAACTAAATGATAAAATTGCATGAGAGTTTACCCTTGAATGTTTAGGTTCTACAAGAAGAGGCACAAAGCCAGATGTCAGTGATCTCACAGGTAATTCCATTTTTCCATTATTCCGTTATTCCGTTGTTCTTTTTAAGGGACTGATCACTTAGTTTTGACGGACCCTCCATTTTTAGAGTGCCAATCAATCATATATCTTTTTAATCTTAACGAGTACAAGCTAACTTAAGCTGTGTTAATTTTTCCACAACTTGCAAATTAATGTAAAAATAAACGATGTAAGTTATCGTTACTGACTTGTAACTTTTACAATAAGAAGGTCAGCTCATGTACCATTCTTTAAATTCATTCAATAAATATTTATTTAAGAAACAAAACAAACAGAATTATTTTCTAATTTCCCAGGCGAGCAGTGCTCTAAACCTTTGTCGGTCAACTAAGGAGTTCTTCGGTTCATCAGAACAGGTATTTTATAGTGGAAAATGAAGATTTGACCATAAAATGCCCTTTTAGGGTCGGTTAACATATTTTGAGGGGCATTTAAAAGGTTGAAATATGTTAGAATATTTAATCCATAAACGACAGTTCCTGTGCGAAATGAATAAAAAACAATTTAAATCTTTTCGCAAATCTTTTAAAAAATCTTAGCATCCTCTTATACCGATTTCATCTCTTTTTTATTAAAATTATTTTCGCGCCATGTTTAAATTTCTATCAGATTGAAATCCATAAATGTAAAAAATAGTTAAATATGTCCCATTGGTAAGTCTCCTCTCGGGATAACATGGGGCGTTATCCATGGATACATCGGTTGGACTGACGGGTTGTCCTTTAATAGTAATAATACAGCAGGACCGAATGGGCTGACATTTTTGAATTATTTTTTTTTAAATATATTTTTTTTCTTCAAAATTGGATTTTAAAAAAATTTTGCGGGAAACGTCGGGTACTTCAGCTAGTATTACAAATAATGGTTTTACTCCTGATTTCTGCTAGGTTGAGGGAGAAAGATTACTCCTGGTTGCTACGCATAAGAGAACTGCTGCACTAAATGAGATCAGCAAACTAAAGACCGAAGGTAGAATTGTAATTGGGAAATATACTTCTGTAATGAAATTACCAAATTTAAGACCGGAGTAAGAATTATAATTGGGAAATATACTATTGTAATGAGATTAGCAAACTTAAGATCGAAGGTAGAATTGGGAAATATTTTTTGACAACTTTTTTTTAAATTTTAAAAAGGTTTTTAAAAGACAAATTTGTACAAAATTATTTTAATAGTATTATAGTATTCCAATTTTTCCCACTTTTGGATTCTTGGGGCCCCGGGACCCTTCCCCTGGGGGGGGGGGAGCTGAATTTGTAGATGTACTTTTCTAATCAACTATGAGGTAAAAAATTAGCAAAGTTCTTCGAAATTAATTTGATTCGATTTGATTTGACTGGTTTGGTTTGGTTTGATTCAGTTTTGTTTGGTTTGATTTGAATTGATTTGATTTGATTTGATTTGATTTGATTTGATTTGATTTGATTTGATTTGATTTGAATTGGTTTGGTTTGGTTTGATTTGATTTGATTTGATTTGATTTGATTTGATTTGATTTGATTTGATTTGATTTGACTTAATCTGTGTAGGAGGACTCGGAGTACAGGAGGATGAGGACACTAATGTTCGTGGTACAGTCAGTCTTAACAGTATATCTCTTGGACTCAAAAAGGTGAATATTGAATGAAAATCATTATCCTACAATCAAAGTGAAACAAGCGTGCTCGGGACCTAGAAACGATATTAACTAACTTAAAACATATAGAGTTACCCACAAAGGATGAGACTGTAGAAACGACTGTACGATATTTATTCAATATTTACATATATTTATGATTTTATGTAACTTCAAACTTATTTCTTTCTTTGCTAAATCATGAAATAACCCATTAGAACTCTAGTCAAGGGCAGTAGACTTAATTTAGCCTTGGGATTGTCTGATATGAGTTTGGTCGTCTTTACAGTCTAATTCTTTGTGGATAACCCTGTAGTTAACTTCATAAAAGTACACTTTATACAATTTACATAATCGATCGTTTTTAGAGTATCAGCTGTTTTTTTTTCAAGGATTTCGTAAATCAGCTGAGATCCGGCGACGCTGACGATTTCGTCCACTACTTCCTTTGCCTGGTGAAGTGCGCCGGCCAAGTTATTCCGACGATGATGGTTTCTACCTTGGACGGATTGGACGGGAAGACTCTTGATTTCCCGAACTTGATCAAGTTGACTGATCTACCGAAGAATTTTGTAATTCAGCTCGAGGTTTACGGTCTCCAGACTAAACGAGAGATACTGGACCATGATGCAAAGTATCATATTAAGAAGGTTAATGTCATTTTTCGCTTTCTCTTTGAGGTCAAAATTTTTGATTATTGAATCCCGGGATCAAGCGTTTATCTATATCTTTGTTGTTCGAAGAATTAAATTAAATTCCTCTTGTTTATCCTTCGGTCAAATCTTAACGTAGATAATTTCTAAAGTTTATTGTCACAATGGATATTGAGATCAAGTGTTGTAGATTAGCGCTACTTCACACAGAAGTTTTGACCTCATGAAATTTTTATGGGTTGTAATTTCCGATATTTTAATTCGCAAGGTTTGAGTGGAAAAAATAAAAATATGACCGAAATTGTCGATCTTGTTTGGTTTTTCAGCTGAAGTTGGATGAATTGTTAAAGATAAATTTCGGGATTGCACAGTAAACTTTATACATGTCAGTAATAATGATAATCAAAGCTACTATTACGATGTCAAATCAGAAAAGTTCTGCCTTGAGAGTTCTAGGCCGTCGAAAGAGTAATATTATTATATTCTGAGATGGAATTTAAAGAATTTGAGCCGCGGTTTAAATCCGCCAAAACCCGGTTTAAATTATGCGCCGGCTTAAATCTTTAATCAATTTTAAGTGGAACCAACCATATTTAAACCGCGGCTTAAATTTAAACCGCCGCTCAAATTCTTTAAATTCGTCCACTGGACTCCAGAGTTTTCCTGTTTTTAATTGTTGCTATTTGTTAGGAGAAATCTGTCTTCAGTTTAACCCCTAAACTGAAACTAAACAAGGAATCAAGGTGAGATAGTGTAATTATTTTCTTCACGTGTCTGGTGATTCATTTCAAGAATTTGTAGCTTAAACTCCTGTGTATTGTCTTTTTTTGATTCACCGACAAAAGGTCAAACGACACAGGGTCAAACGACAAAGGGTCAAATGACAAAGTGTCAAGCGACAAAGGGTCAAACGACAAAAGGTCAAAAGTGCGACAAAGGGTCAAACGACAAAAGGTCAAAATGATAAAAGTATTTTTTGATTTAAATCATAGGAAACTCGCAACCCTCCTATCAATTTTGTACAAGGATCTTATATGTTAGACATGGATATAATTGACCATGTGGCCGCAGCGCTCGGCCCCCTAGCCGCAGCGCTCGGCCCAGAAAGTGTCTTAACCTAACCTAACCCTAAATAATAATAAATAAATACTAACTGTAACAGATGTCAAAATTTTAAAAAAAATTTCCCATTTGTCGCATTTTTTGACCCTATGTCGTTTTACACTTTGTCGTTTTACCCTTTGTCGCGCTTTTGACCCTATCGTTTGACCCTGTGTTATTCTTCATTTGTTAGGGCCCGAGGGGATTCATTTCAAGAGTTTACTAATTTATTTTCGAGACACTAGTCCTATTTCTCGTAAGACCATAAATTTTATTAGTTAATATTTTATCTCCAAGTTGTAATCTCTGTTTGTCTGTTTGTTTGTTATCCGAACATAAATCAGAAACCCCTGGACCAATTTGCCTCAAATTTTGCTTGGGAAACTCGGGAGACCAACAGGAATGTTTTTAGCTTTGTTTTGAGATTCTTAGCTGAGTGGATATCGATTTAAAAGCGAAAATTTTGTTTTCTGGTAAAATCTTTTAAAGTGCGGGTAAACGGCGGGAGTAACTTTTAGTAACCTGGGTAGCGTTGGGTTCCCAAGCTAGTATGTACAGGGTGTCCCACATCATATAAGATCGTTTATAGCTCTAAATTAAGATTTAAGGAACTAATCAGAAAATTTTAAGAGTGTTTTTTTTTTAAATGTAGAATGCTAATGTAAAAATTTGCTTGCAGAAAATACCAGGTATTATGTGAGTATTATGGCGTTAAAGCTTGGAGATTATCTAATATGATATGGGACGCTCTGTTTGTATTTCTGTTTTTATGTCCCATCATAACTCATGAACCTTTTGACCGATTTGCTTCAAATTTTGATTGGGAACTCGGTAGAACCATGGGAACAGTCTTAGCTTGGTAAATTGAGACTGAGTAGGTTGACTTTTGTAGAGAAAGTTTAGTATCCAGGCAAAGCTGGGTTCCCTGTAAAATTTGATAACATAACATATTTAGCTGTTAGGAGTACTTATGGGTTATTTTTATCTGGGTTCTAGGGAGGGGGGGGGGGAGATACCGAAACAGGCTTTTAACGACGTTTTTCAAGTCAATAACAAATTCTCCATTTTAGGTTGACCCGTCCAGAGATGTGTTCCCCTGGAGGTCCCCAGGCGGTCAGGACCTCTAGCTTTGCTATGGTCGGCAATACAATCATAACAATAGAAAACCTTAAGAGGTAGATTTTTTTTACGATCTAGTTTTTTAAACGTTTCCAGGGAGAAAAATATCAACCAGTCTGCAAAAAAATATGCTCTCAAAACACACCTCTTAATTCTGAAACTAATGCGATATTGATAAAAACTTCCTTTTCTCTGAATGGTTCAATATAAAAATAAGCGAGAAAAAAGAATTTTTTTTTTTGAAAAATTATCATTTGTTCATAAGATAAGCAAATATTGAAGAAATGCTGAGAACCAGGATCCGTTTTTTTTCCTTGAAATTGATCTTAAAGCACTGGAGAGTGTACCCCATATCTTTCCCCTGGATGGAGATATTAATTGTTTGTATTCCAGGGAGGATTGAGTACTGGAGAGTGTACCCCACAATTCCCACTGAATGGAGATATTAATTGTTTGTATTCTGGGAAGGATTGAGTACTAGAGAGTGTACCCCATATCTCCCCCTGGATGGAGATATTAATTGTTTGTACTCTAGAAAGGATTGGGTAGTTGAGAGTGTACCCCATATCTCCCCCTGGATGGAGATATTAATTGTTTGTACTCTAGAAAGGATTGGGTACTGGAGAGTGTACCCCATATCTCCCCCTGAATGGAGATATTAATTGTTTGTACTCTAGAAAGGATTGGGTAGTGGAGAGTGTACCCCATATCTCCCCCTGGATGGAGATATTATTTGTAATTGTATTCTAGGAAGGATTGGGTACTGGAGAGTGTACCCCATATCTCCCCTCTAGATGGAGCTATGAGGTTCCAATTAAACTGCCATAGTGAAAGTCAGGTAGGACTAAGAATAAATAATAAGAACTTTTTGCAGGAGAGAAGGGTGATATTATTGTTAAAATTGTACCAGTGCAGTGCATTGATTAAATTTTACAATACTTCCTTTCTCAAGTATCTAGGGAAAGGGGAAGGTTGAGAGGTAAAGGGGAAGGTTGAGAGGTAAAGTGGAAGGTTGAGAGGGAAACGGGAAGGTTGAGAGGTAAAGGGGAAGGTTGAGAGGGAAAGGGGAAGGTTGAGAGGGAAAGGGGAAGGTTGAGAGGGAAAGGGGAAGGTTGGGAAACGGGAAGGTTGAGAGGGAAAGGGGAAGGTTGAGAGGGAAAGGGGAAGGTTGAGAGGGAAAGGGGAAGGTTGAGAGGGAAAGAGGAATATAGGGAAGGGAAGTAGAAGGGGAAGTTAAGAGGAAGGTAGGGTAGATAGGGAAGGGGAACGCAGGGAAGGGGAAGGTAGAGAATCAATGGAAGGTTGGCAGATAAAGAAGTGAAGGAAGGCGGAATATAGTGAAGGGAAGGGCTGGAGCTCTGTACCTCGACATAACTACGTAACTATATCTAATAAAATCAGAGAGATTTTCATGATTATTTTTCCCCAATAGTTATAAAGCAGCAAAGAAACCTGTTAAAATTTTTTGCGCTCCACGCACAACTTCAAAAAAAAACCTGATAAAAGAATGCTCAATACTCAATATTTTTTCCAAATAGTCAAATATAGTATTAAAATTTTACATTCTCCCCCCAAGAAAAATTATGGGAAATGAAATCGAAGAATAGTCCTGAACTTACAAATAATCAATTCCGTCTTTTTTGCGATATGGATATTAATAAATTATCTTTTTAGTTATCGAATTTATTGAAGGAAATAAAAAAAATTTGAAGGGGGTGGAAAGAGTAAAAAAAATCGGAATTATATACAGTATACACCCATGATTTTAAAGTAATAAAATCATTTGACTGTCCATAAACCTTTCCTGAGGCCATATGAGTTGCCACAAAAATTTGAGCCCGATCGGTTCAGCTTTTTTGACGTTACACAGACAGACAAATAAGTTAAATTATATACAGATTGATTGATTGATTGTACTTGCTTTTTTTTTGAAAAAGTCATGCTTTATACAATAATATTTGAAGGTTGCGTACAGAGGATTCCTGACAATGTTTGACGATGTTTCTGGATTCGGAGCCTGGCACAGGTCAGCACATACTAAAATGTTTCGTAGTACTTAATCCAAGATAAGGGGGGGGGGGGTGAAAAAGTCCTTAAAAGAACAATGTGGAGGTGCCATGTACTAATGTTCGTTGTTCAGAGAGTATTTTTTTCCATTTTTGACAATTTAATAATTCTAATTTTAATGGGTAAGAAATGAAAAATGAAGCCTTAAAAATTTGTTTGACCCATTGCTCAATATTAAAACTAAGTACCGTCTATTCTGTAGAATCCTCGTATTCAAATACACTGAATTAACTGCGTACACTGCGTAGTATTTAATATTAATGTTTTTGCTCGGAAAAGGGTATATTTACATACTTAACCTTGTACTGATACTATTGTATGTACAGGAGATGGTTTGTACTGGACGGGAACAGATTGTCCTACTGGAAGTACCCGGAGAACCAGAATACACAGGGTTAGTACATCACTAAAATTTTAATAATTTATTCATATCTGAAATAAGAGAATATTACTCCTGTCCAAGAATACTAAGATTAAAGAAACTAAGAAGATTGTATTACTCCTGAAAAGTTCAGAAATATGTTTTTGTTATGATTAAATGATTAAATTTTATTCCATTTAAAAGATTCAGAATTGAGCCTCCACTTTGTCCTAGGATACATTTAGATGGCCGCGAGAGTCGATCCCTATTTTATTGATTAATTAGTTGTCTATCTTGATAATAAAAATATAAAAAGATTTATTAAATAAACAATGGGACATCAAAAGGCAAGTTTTTTTATTGTTTTTGATACTTTTTAGCAAAAAAAAAATATTTTCTCCAATGCAGCGAGAGATAAAAATAAACCAAAAAAACATAAATCACATCTGAAGGAAAACAATAATTTTCATAAGGAGGTGGAATGATTTTTCGAGAAAATATACACCCCTGTCTAAATGTTAACCTTCTGCTTGCTAAGCTTATACTTGTGTGTAGAACCTATTGGAACTATTGATCTCGGCGGATGTATCACTCAATCTGTAACTATTGCTCCAAGGTAAAGATGGCTGGATTTTGGGTGGAATGATGTATTGTTGGATTGACGGATTGTTGGATTAATGAACTAATTGTATGGTTGAGATACTTAATAAATTGGTTGATTTACTGATTAATTAGTTGATTTAACTATTAACTGGTTGATATACGGAGTATTGGCTGATTTACTGATTCATTGGATGATTTACTGATTAGTTTGTTGATTTACTGATAAATTGATGGATTAATTGATTTGTGGATAGTGGATGTGTTGATTATTTGATTGATTGGTGTTTGGATTGATTGATTGTTAGATCTAGAGATTTTTGGATTGGTTGATTGATGAGTTGATTGATTGATTGATTGCTTGCATATATATGAATTGATGTTAAAGTTGTTGAATTACGATTGAACGACTAGTCATTGCAGTAATAAATTAATAATTATATTTCTTATTTCTATTTTAGAGAGATATGTTCCCGTATGCACACCTTTCTCCTGGAGAGCCGGCGTCCTGCCCGAACCTCTGATCGTGAGAGTTTAGTTTTAGTGAGACAAGGAACCTGGACAATTATCAGACACCTCCTGTCCTCTGACTCCAGGGAGGAGAGGTTAACCTGGTGCAGTATACTGAACCAGGCTCTAGACAACCTCAGGGCTTGGGATCCTCAATCTAAATACAGGTATCAAATTATATTATAAACTTTTTGTGGACTTTAAAAATCGAAATTTTTCAAGGCAATTTTTTTTTATTCTGACCATCCAATAACCTTCCCTGGGGTCATGTAAGTAAAATTGAGTTTTTGATTCTCATATCTACAGTATTTTATCTTATTAATTATAATTGCAGACCGTCAGATGACAATAAACAAAGCCTGCGGATTTAACGCTTAGCTTATCAATATGCTTAATGCTTATCTTTGTTTAAATATTGCCATTTATTGTTTTTTGTTAAGTTTTAACGGTTTTATTTTCCATCCATTTTTATTTGGTTGCATTTAATATTATTATTTGGAACAGTCCACTTCTTCTCATGAAGTCAAAATTATTCCCACAAATCAAAAATCATTTTTCAATTTTTATCTCATTTTTGTTTAGAACTGGCTCAGTGTCAAGCACTGACTCAATGTCAGGCGCTAGCTCTACATCAACTGAAATCTGGTGATCTTAAACGATCATTATGATGATCTAGTTCTACATCGGCTGAGATCTGGCGATCATTTGATAAAGATCTACTTTCATCAACTATCCTTACGATCATCTTGTTCTCTGACAGATATCTGGTGATCATCATACCGCTCATCACCCTACAATAATCTCTTCGAAATTATTTCTAGTTCAGTAACTTCAGTCAGACCAAGAAAATCTTCAGATTTAGACAGAACACTTATCAAAGTTAACCTTATCTTTTGTCCGTTATTTTCGTTAAAGATAATATTTAGAATTTGCGCGGGAAATTCAATTTTACCGGAAAATGAAAACAAAGTTTTCTTCTGTGAACAATAGTTGTTCTGCACATTTTCCAGTCTTGAACTTTAATTGTAGTTTAGTTAAACAATGTTGATTTATAGTTCTACTTTTAGTAAGTTGACCTTGCAGCATATGTAAAAAAGCGTTAATTTTTTATTGTCAAGGAATTAAAAATTAGATATCGACGAATTTGAAAGTTTTATTTAATTAACTCCCTAATTCTCATCCTTGTACTAATTCTGTTTAAATCATTGTCATTAATGTAAATTGACTTCAAGTATTAACAGAAAAGACTAAATATAACTTTGTAAACATAAATAACATTTCTTTTTTCTCTATCCCCTGTTTATTGTAAGTTGTAAATTGTTGTGCTAAATATATATTAATCTACAATCTACATGCTACTAATGTTGACTACAAGATGCATGTAATTACAGAATACAAGATGGGTCCTAAGAAAGATGGTGGTGGAAAGAAACCGAAAAAAACTGCTTCAGGATACAGGATGCCGGACCATCTTCCCCCCGGCACGGTGAGTTTTCGTGGATACAATTAGATATGATGCAACATTTAGATTATAATCCTCTTTTTGGATATTTCTACTGTATAAAAGTTACGTTTGATAACAATTACAGATACAATGCTACATCGATTGGACTAATATCCGATTAAATTAAAGTCAGCTGTTCATAAGCCCGCTTTTAGAGCATTTAAACAAATATAAACTTAATCATGTCAATATGAAATTATTAAAATACATATTTAAGGACTATTGTCATTTTGAACGTTAGTCTTAATAAACATTAATCCAAAACTTACGTTCGTTCAATCGATGTTTAGTTCAATTGATATGACACCATCAACACCAGAAATCAAAACCGATCTGATGTTATATTCAGATTTCATACAGATCATTTTTAAAACTCTGATATGAAGCAGCATACAGATCTGACGTAACATTGATGAAGCTTTTAGAATGGATTATTGAATTTGAATCAGACTGATGCAGCATGATTTGATGCAATATATAGATCAGATGCAGCATTCAGAATTCAGATATAGTGCAACTTTTTTATTTGATGCAGATATCAATTATTATGCAAGAAACCATGGTAAACTATTGGGAGTATATTGTAATATTGTTTAGTTACTAGTGGATAAAAACAAGAAACCATGGTAAACTATTGGGAGTATATTGTAATATTGTTTAGTTACTAGTGGATAAAAACAAGAAACCATGGTAAACTATTGGGAGTATATTGTAATATTGTTTAGTTACTAGTGGATAAAAACAAGAAACCATAGTAAACTATTGGGAGTATATTGTAATATTGTTTAGTTACTTGTGGATAAAAACAAGAAATCATGGTAAACTATTGGGAGTATATTGTAATACTGTTTAGTTACTAGTGGATAAAAACCAGAAACCATGGTAAGCTATTGGGAGTATATTGTAATATTGTTTAGGTACTAGTGGATATTAAACAAGAAACCTTGGTAAACTATTTGGAGTATATTGTAATATTGTTTAGGTACTAATGGATAAAAACAAGAAACCATGGTAAACTATTGGGAGAATATTGTAATATTGTTTAGGTACTAATGGATAAAAACAAGAAACCATGGTAAACTATTGGGAGTGTATTGTAATATTTTTTAGGTACTAGTGGATAAAAACAAGAAACCATAGTAAACTATTGGGAGTATATTGTAATATTGTTTAGTTACTTGTGGATATTAAACAAGAAATCATGGTAAACTATTGGGAGAGAATATTGTAATATTGTTTAGGTACTAATGGATAAAAACAAGAAACCATGGTAAACTATTGGGAGTATATTGTAATATTGTTTTGTTACTAGTGGATAAAAACAAGAAACCATGGTAAACTATTATATTGTAATATTTTTTAGGTACTAGTGGATAAAAACAAGAAACCATGGTAAACTATTAGGAGTATATTGTAATACTGTTTAGTTACTAGTGGATAAAAACAAGAAACCATGGTAAACTATTGGGAGTATATTGTAATATTGTTTTGTTACCAGTGGATAAAAATAAGAAACCATGGTAGACTATTGGAAGTATTTTGTAATATTGTTTAGGTACTTGTGGATAAAAACAAGAAACCATGGACCCTGGGTAAATCTATTGGAGTTGGTGGCTTTGGAGAGATTTATCTAGCTGTTGAGGGAAAAAATGCACCAACTGATAATGCCAGGTAAAATAAAAATTCCATCAATGAATTTTAATCTTAAGTTCAAGATTCACAATCAAGTGGGCTATTAGAGAGAATTGTTACGAAAATTATTCTTTAAATCTGTGTATTTTAACTTTAAAAGTTTAGTCTAAAAATATTTTCAGCAATAACTTGAAACTCCGATCTGAAACCACAAAAATTTGTTGAATTTTATTTTTTTTTAAACGCCAGGATTTTAAATGATGCGAATTTTGTTGGCAGTCATGTTGTGAAAATTGAACCCAAGGAGAACGGACCCCTTTTTGTAGAAATGCATTTTTATATTCAGGTATATTTTTATACTTTTTTAATCTTATAATTTATTTTATCTTTTAAATGTTAAATTAATTGCAAAATATCGCGGATTTCTCTGTTTTTCAAAAATGAAACATTTAGAATACCAAATTTTTTAATTTGACCAGCTATAACCCTTCCTTGGGGCTATGTTAGTTACCAGTTACCACAAAAAACGTCCCGGGTCGGTTCACTCGCTTTGACATTGGATACAAACAAACAAACATTTAAACCAAATATATAAATAGATGTTGAATTCCAGGTCATTGATGTATATTATTGAAAAATTGGAAACTGACTTCTGAAAAAATTATTTAGAAATTAGACATCAAAAACCACGTTTTTTTCATCCTTTTTCATACTCTTACCCAAAAATATATTTAATTTCACCTAAAAATCAGTTATTTTCGCAAATTCAGCGATAAAACCTTTATAAAATCAAAAATACGAAACTCGGGGGGGAGAGGGTGATTTAAAAGGGTAAAAGTTTTTAAGAAAATGTATACCCCTGTTCCAGGTAGGAACAGCTGATCACGTGAAGAGCTGGGGTAGGCCAGTCAACATGCCCTTGATGCGCGCACAAGGAAGTCACCCACACAAAGACGATATTTATCGTTTCCTCGTCATAGATAGGTCACATCTTCAATATCTTAATAATGAACAATATAATCCTCCCTTGAATATATGAAATGTGCTTGGGTAGTTCAAGAAAATCCTGTATACGCCCCTCTTTCTTACTTCACGACGAGTTTTCCTATAATATGAAGATGAAAATTATAATTGTAATGATTTTAAACTAATAAAAAATATATACTTTTTAATTATGATATTTAATATTCATGTATAGAATAAGTCAAAATTGAAAATTTCTATTCGAATTACGATGAGTTTGGTCTTTAACAAAAAAGATTATTAATTTTAACTAGAATACATTTATTATTAAATAAAATTTCCTTTTGAATTATAAATTACGTTTTGAGTTGGAATCACTTTTTCATTAAAGTTTTAAATTACATTCACCCACTCCCAGAAGATATAAAAAGAATTTTTGACAGTAAGATATAATTTTCTAGGCTTGGCGTTGATCTGGATAAAACATTCCAGAATGGTCGGAATCCTTTGTCTGATAGTTTAATCGGTACTCTTGCAGTACAGATAATAGATACACTACAGTACATACACTCAAGAGGATACACTCATAATGATATTAAGGTACTTTCAAGCGGCTCTCCATTTATAGATTGGCATGTCTGATTCACAACCATACTTTTTTTAAGCTTTGACTGATCAGTGATCAAAAAAGAATCAGAAATCCATGTTTGCTCTTTAAAAATATTTTATTTATTGTGACTTGGGTATTTTTACTGTTACTGCATTTTTGATCTGAAAGCGGTTTGAGATTATCGTTGTAAATCGTACATGCCATTGCCCGTCCTTGAATTACGTTTACATTAAAACAGTTTTGCTAAGTAAAAACTAAACAGCATACTTTATTCATAAGGCCCTAAAAAGAATTAAAAATTCTGGGATCTTGGATAACAAATATTTTATTTTTTTTTTGCAAATACACGCATTTTCTTACTTTAAGTAATGTTTTTTTAATTGCTTTAATCCTTTTGTTTTCAGGCAGCAAATCTTCTTGTTGGTTTAAACAAGGAGAGTGGAAAGATATTTCTGGTGGATTTTGGTCTCTGTGTTAAATATATCAAGGGAACTTGACTTATTAGAATATGTGACAGGGTTACTATTAAAAAATGAGACTTTAGAGGCGACTGTAATGAATTTATTCATAATATTCTTATATGTATGGTCCCTTGTAATTGTAAGCTAATTGTAATATAAACTAATTGAAGGCATACAGCCCAAATCAGTCCTCCTATAATTCCATTACAGAGGTACAGGTCGTCACTAAAACTTATCCTTTGTGGGTAACCCTGTATGAAATAATTTTTAGAAGAAAAACAATATATAACATTTGAGCGCAGTATTAAGTGACCCGTCCTGTAAAGGGTGCCGGTTTCTAAAAGGACTAACAACTGTACACTGTACATTTTTATCTTTATCTTTTGGACGAAAGATATTGTCACGTTATTGTTGGTGACCTAAAAAAGTACTGCCAATTTTTATTAGTCTCTGCTGAAAAAATCCAGAAATTCTAAACTTTTAGATTAAAAAAGCCATTTTCATCAATTGTAATCACTGAAATATTGAAAGGGTACTGTTGTAAATAATTGATGGCACATTTCAAATGAAGAATATCTGGAAATTTCAATCAATTTCCTTTAAAGGCATAAAGATTCCGAACATCAACGTGTATGTGTATTGTGTATCTACAACAGCACAACAACGAATATAAGATGAATAAGAATAAATGATTGATTTAATGATATTTTTATTCCTAAATACAAGGTTAAAATGGCGTCCAAGTTATTTTTTATACATATATTGAAGTCAATATTTGTTAAATAGACGACAGGACACAAAGAGTATTGTCCAGACAAGAAAAAGGAACATGATGGAACTATAGAATATCTATCTAGGGATGCACATATAGGTAACAATTTAGTAACATGATACACATATAGGTTACAGTTTAATGACATGATGCACATATAGGTAACAGTTTAGTAACATGATGCACATATAGGTTACAGTTTAATGACATGATGCACATATAGGTTACAGTTTAGTAACATGATGCACATAAAGGTAACAATTTAGTAACATGATACACATATAGGTTACAGTTTAGTAACATGATACACATATAGGTTACAGTTTAATACCATGATGCACATATAGGTAACAGTTTAGTAACATGATGCACATATAGGTAACAATTTAGTAGCATGATACACATATAGGTAACAATTTAGTAACATGATACACATATAGGTTACAGTTTAGTAACATGATACACATATAGGTTACAGTTTAATGCCATGATGCACATATAGGTAACAATTTAGTAACATGATACACATATAGGTAACAGTTTATTAACATGATGCACAGCACATATATGTAACAGTGAAGTAACATGATACACATATAGGTACCAGTGAAGTAACATGATACACATATAGGTACCAGTTTAATAACATGATGCACATGTAGATAGCAGTTTATTTGCATGTTTTAGGAAACATAGTCTATATTACTAGGTTTTACTAGCAGAAGAAGTGATCTTGAAGTACTCTGCTATGATCAATATCTCTAGGCTGTACTAGCAAAAGAAGTGATCTTGAAGTACTCTGCTATAATCTATATCTCTAGGTTGTACTAGCAGTAGAAGTGATCTTGAAGTACTCTGCTATAATCTATATCTCTAGGTTGTAATAGCAGGAGAAGTTATCTTGAAGTATTCTGCTATAATCTATATTTCTAGGTTGTACTAGCAGTAGAAGTGATCTTTAAGTACTCTGCTATAATCTGTATCTCTAGGCTGTACTAGCAAAAGAAGTGATCTTGAAGTACTCTGCTATAATCTATATCTAGGTTGTACTAGCAGGAGAAGTGATCTTGAAGTATAATCTATATTTCTAGGTTGTACTAGCAGAAGAAGTGATCTTGAAGTACTCTGCTATAATCTATATCTCTAGGCTGTACTAGCAGTAGAATTGATCTTGAAGTACTCTGCTATAATCTATATCTCTAGGTTGTACTAGCAGTAGAAGTGATCTTGAAGTACTCTGCTATAATCTATATTTCTAGGTTGTACTAGGAGGAGAAGTTATCTTGAAGTACTCTGCTATAATCTATATCTCTAGGTTGTACTAGCAGGAGAAGTGATCTTGAAGTACTCTGCTATAATCTATATCACTGGAAAATGGGGACATTACCTTGGATATCTAGCACGGCCAAGTAAGCAAAGCTTAAGTTTTTCCCATAAAAAAAGAAAATTTAAATGTTTTGAATATTTGACCAGTTTTGAACTAATCTAACACAAACAGTTGATTTACATTGATAAAGATGATAAATAAAATTTATTTAGTGCCAATTTTTTTCTAGAAAGTTAAAAATTACTCTAGGTTCTAAAAATGAAAAAAAAAAATTTTTACTTTAAATAATCTCTAATATATTGGGGGTAGTTTTCAGGAGATAAATGATAATTTTTGTAACTTTATTTCCCTGTTCAGTCCCGTGAAGGTTCAAGCTGAGAAGGAGAAGTTGATGTGTTCTCTGCCAGGATCTGTCTCCAACCTTTCTAAACCTACCCAGAACCTTTTCAACTACGTCAAAAATCTAGAATTTACGGTAAAAATGGAGTTTACAATAATACTTTGGTAAAAATATAACATTTCTAAATTTTTCAAATGATTATACTTCAATGACCTTTAAAAGTCAATTGTTATATTAATCACCCTGAAATTCTCTTTTGAGCCTCGTGAACTGTTTGTAAACACTAGGCTGAACCGGATTATGACAAATGCCGCAGCTTTTTCTCCGCGGAACTGAAGCAAACCGGAGGAAAGATAAATCTAACGGCATCCTCTCCTAATAAACCTGTGAGGTACAGTACAGTACACTAAATAAGGAACTTGATAAAAAAAAATATATAGTAAATCCTAAAATATGACCTAGGATACGCAATAAGATATCATATACAGTCGTCGTCGTATATATCAACACAATGAAAACGACTTTTGGTTTCAATATTTATATTTTAAACGCTTTTTAACAGCATAGATACAGATAATCATGGAAACAAAACAACTTCTCTCTTTTTACTTGAGAACTTGTAATTCTCGTTTACAATCAGAACTTTAATAAAAACGTCGTCTTCATTTTATTGATATAAACGCCGACACTGTACTTATTATCAAAAGGGAAAACAGACTTTTTAACCCGATTCACAACGTTACCCTTAGAGTAGAGAATATTTTCAGAAATGAAGACTTATAAGGTTAGAAAAATGACGAAATCTTCCCCGTTGTTGATCGATTTAAAGTTTACTTTAAACATTAACTCAGTACCGTTAAGGTTTTGGGTTCCTACAACTAGTTAATTCTTAGAAACTGTCTGCAATCTTATTATAAAAAAACTAGTCCTGCAACAAAAAAAGCAATTGCCAAGGACATCTTTTTTGTTAATTGTCTTGCACAATACAGTACTTTTTCTGTTCCTTGTGCATTTTGAATAATAAAGTTAATTGTCTTGTACACCCTTCTGAAAATGTCAAATTTTCATTTTAAAACTCAAGTTGAAAACATTTTCAATGTTTTCAGGACGCCTAAAGCACCTGGTAAAGCGGGTAGATCTCCTAAGAAATCTGTTGTGCTTAGCGCGACAGAGGAATCAGAGAGCGAAGATATCTTCGAACCTTCTCCACCCAAGAAAATGGAAGGTTAGTGTTCTTTTCATCTTCAGAGCTTTTTTTCTTTATTATCCGGATTCTGGAAAGGGTGAAACTTTTGTTTGGGAAATCTCTTGGCTTCTGAGACCAAACTTGATATCTCATGGACTTAAAGGCAAAAGTAGGGGTAGATTTGTAGAAGACCTGAACAGAGATAACAGGATATTAGTTAACGACCTATTCCCTGCTGTGCAATGGATCAGTAGAAAACCTGAGATACAGAGAGAACAGGAGATTAGTTAACGACCTATTTCCTGCTTTGCAAAAGATTAGTAGAAGACCTGAGATACAGAGGGAACAGGTGATTAGTTAACAACCTATTCCCTGCTGTGCAAAAGATTACTAGAAGACTTGAGATACAGAGAGGACAGGAGATTAGTAATCAACATAATCTCTGCTGTGCAATAGATTAGTAGAAGACCTGAGATACAGAGAGAACAAGAGATTAGTAATCAACCTAATCCCTGCTGTACAATAGATTAGTAGAAGACCTGAGATACAGAGAGAACAGGAGATTAGTTAACAACCTAATCCCTGCTTGCAATAGTTTAGTAGAATACCTGAGATACAGAGAACAGGAGATTAGTTAACAACCTAATCCCTGCTGTGCAATAGATTAGTAGAATACCTAAGATACAGAGAGAACAGGAGATTAGTTAACAACCTAATCCCTGCGGTACAATAGATCAATAGATGACCTGAGATACAGAGAGAACAGGAGATTAGTCAACGAGCTAATTCTTGCTGTGTAATATATATGTAGAAGACATGAGATACGGGAGATTGGTTAACGACCTAATCCCTGCGGTACAATAGATCAATAGAAGACCTGAGATACAGAGAACAGGAGATAAGTAATCATCCTAATCCCTGCGGTACAATAGATCAATAGAAGACCTGAGATACAGAGAGAACAGGAGATTAGTCAACGAGCTTATTCTTGCTGTGCAATATATATGTAGAAGACATGAGATACAGAGAAAACAGGAGATTAGTTACTCGGGCTGGGGGAGAGCACATAAAGCCTAGTGTGTGCTCCCACCCGCGCAGGCAGGGATCTGTCTGAGGGTTCCACGGTTTCTGTAACTCTTATAGGTTGCATATGCGTCGTGATAGATAGATAGATGGGTGAACATTTTTTATTTGTATTTTGGTTTAGTTTTTTCGAAGGAGGTTTCAAATCTTGTTTTCATCCTTCAAATACATCAAATTATGTTATTTTTGGGATTGGGGAGAGAAATTATAAAATTGCACTGTAAAACATATTTCCTCAACAAATTTAAGAAAGAAAATAAATTGACAATATACAACAACAAAATAGGGAGGATTTCTAGGAAAAACAACAAAAATTAGAATTATGGGAATATCTATACTTATATTACTCCCACTAGGTACTCCTCGGGGGACTCCTAGATCAAGAGGTAGAGGAACTCCAGTAAGCAGAGGAACACCTCGAGCTACAGACCCCGAGGTGGAGAAGGTTGTGAAGGCGGAGAAGGTTGTGAAAGGAGTGAAGAAAGTTGCTGCTGCTGCTAAGAAGACTGAGAAGAAGATTTATAAAGAGATGGCTTGTCAAACCAGTCCAGGCTTTATTGCTAAGGTATATTTGCTTAATAGGGCTGTTCACGTAATTTTAGGTGAGAGGTATGCCCGAGTCACAGCAGTACCCTTTTAAACTTTATTTTAGCGACACTGTCGAAGATCTTGTCGTTTTTAAGGCTGAAATAGTGTCTAGTTAAAACAAATTTTATTTTATATTGTTTTCAAAGCAAAAATATGATTCTTCATCAGACAAAGGTTTAAAGGGTACCGTTGTAAATCAGACATGAAACTCTATAAAGGGAAAGTTACTTGATATTACGTCTGTAGTCCCTTTATTGAGACTGTTCAAGTATTTTAAGTATCTTCCATTTGAAAATTGGTTTTTACGATTCTCTGACTCTTGAAATTGTGTTTCTTCGCTCTTTCCCTGAAATTTTTTAACGAGTTTCTATTCCTCAAGGAAACACGTGACATTATGTCAGAATTATGTTTATATTAAAGGCTGCCGCAGCGAGAAAATCTCGTCCCACTGTTGATCGTCTTTCATCTCCTAGTAGTGTTCCTAAAAAGTCTCCGAAAAAGTCTGCAGTTAAAAAGGCTGCAACTAGTGAAGGTGAGTTGACTATTTTGAAGAAAAAAAACCGGCAAGACTTTAGGAAAAAGTCCACTTTGTACGAAATTACTGGTACAACTTTGTGACCTAGATGCCAGTTAATTTTGTTGCTTTAAGTAATTAAAACTTCTTCTCAAAAGCTGTTGTGTCAGCATGTATGATTTTAATTTAACACCAAACACTTCCCTGGAGCTCTGTCTACTCCATGGGATAACTTTATTCTGTAATTTTTCATTCCTAACCTTACATTTTTACTGATAGTATGGTTAAAGTTAAATACATTTACAGCTTTACCAGTGCAATTTAGCTGTTAAAAACTAAAATAATTCTTTATCTTGAGGTCAGGTTTAATGAAGGAATTAAAGAATAGCAGGAAGTTGTAAAACTAGATGCAGAAATTTAGGCTACTTCACTATAATGGCCGAGGGGCACTTCGCAAGTAATCAATCTATTTATACCCAGTTTAACCACTTCTCGCTATTTATTAATTCCTACCTCTGGTTTTGCATGCTAAATTACAAACACTGAAACATGTTCAGGAGAAACTGACGGAGAGTTTATTAATCCTACCCCTGCTATGTTGGCTATACTCAAGAGGAAGAAAGAGGTTTTGATATTATTTTATATTTTATATATTTTAAGATTTTCCTTCCTCATACTAAACATTTCACTACAAGCGGTTTCTTTTGTCATTTTTAGTTCACGTCATTTTTGCTTTATTTTGCTTTTAGCCTTATTAATCCTAAATGCCATTCTTGTTTTACGATTTGTTCTTTATGCAAATATCACCCGAACCGCAGTACTCGGCCCCTTAGTTTCAGTCTTGGGTTAGGTTGGGCATTTTGATGCGCTGCAGGGTGAACGAGAGACTGAGCGCTGCGATGAGAATAATGTTAATGTGCTTAAAATGTTGGGGAAAGATATTCGTCAAGTATTACAATTAAATAAAATTAAGGTTGAAGAGGAAAAGGCAGCCAAGAAGAGAAAGAAGTAAACAAGAATTCCTGTAGAACCTATCTCAGTCTCATTTTTATCATGGATTGACATTTAATAATTATTTTTTGTAAATTATGATCACTGATCAGTACAGGTCAGCTTTGATAAATAGCGAGAAGTAGGTGAACCGCGCATTTGTAGTTTAACCACGGTTCAGGTCGAAGAGAAGTGGCTGAACTACGTCTGCGTAGTTCAACTATGTTTCACTATTCATTAAATCGGGTTCTAGGCCCCATATTATTTATTCATCTTTTCAGAGGAAAGCATTCGGTGCCATCAGTATTATTTTAGCACAATATGTGACTAATTGATATGTTTTTAGACCCCATTGATTAACCAAAAAGTCTACGAAATCTCCTAAAATAACCTGTGATAATTTTTCAGAATACAAAGAATGCCTTTAGAGGAAAAATTGATCGTAGAGCATGTGGATAAAACCAGGCATCAGAGATTTTTATTTATTATGGGAATTCAAAACTGAAAAACTGAATATATAAATATTAAATATATATATTAATATCTAGATAAAGAAAAAGTTATCAATTTTCATTCTGGCTGTTTCTCATTTATACAGTGTTGGATAAATCAGGCACTAATTTTGATCCTAGTTCTTTCTAGTTTCAAGCCTGTGCACTAATGCTCAAAATAAGGATCATTTGAATTTTCTGGAAAAAAAAACAATATTTTAAACTGGGGTGACCCTTGACCTTTGATAGTTTAAAATATTTTAAACTGGGGTGACCCTTGAGCTTTAATAGTTTAAAATATTTTAAACTGGGGTGACCCTTGATCTTTAATAGTTTAAAATATTTTAAACTGGGGACCCTTGATCTTTGATAGTTTAAAATATTTAAAACTGGGGTAACCCTTGATCTTTGATAGTTTAAAATATTTAAAACTGGGATAACCCTTGATCTTTGATAGTTTAAAATATTTAAAACTGGGATAACCCTTGATCTTTGATAGTTTAAAATATTTAAAACTGGGGTAACCCTTGATCTTTGATAGTTTAAAATATTTAAAACTGGGATAACCCTTGATCTTTGATAGTTTAAAATATTTAAAACTGGGATAACCCTTGATCTTTGATAGTTTAAAATAAAAAACTATCCGTGAGAAGATCCACTTTAATTTTCAAAAAAACATCCCGCCTCTTAATATTTCTTAAATAACTTTCTCTGAGCTTAGAAATAGATTACTGAATCCGAAAGAACCAACAGAAGAACCTAACTTAAGAAAACATAGATTTGAAGAACACTCGAGAAAAGTTCGAAATAATCTTCCATCAACACTAATTAGAATATGTAATATTTTGAAAACCAAGGTTATATTAATGCTTACAAGGCAAACCTTTACTCACATGATAAATGCCAGAAAAATGATAAAATTACAATTTGGAAGAAAAAAATTAATAATATTTTTAAAAAATTCTCAGGGAAGAAAATGGCGGAAAGGTTGAAGTCCAATTTACCAATCCCAGATGGAAAAGAGAACAGAAACCGACCCAGGTAAAAATTTGGGACTTAAGAATCTTTTAAGGTAAAATACAATGTGACCAAATTTTTACTATTATAGGATTGTGCGGCCTGTTTTGAGACCTGCTAAGCTGAACGGCCCCTCAAGCTCTTCTACCAGCTCTAGTCCAAACCTTAATTCCAAAGGTAGTTTACTAAGTCCAAATCTAAATCCCAGAGGTAGGGTCATTCAGTCCAAACCTTAATCCCATTATAAGGTACCTTTAGTCCAACCCACGGTGGTCCACAGGTTGGCAAAACCCCAAATTTCACTAACTTTTAAAACCATTTTTAAAGGTATTGTAAATTACTATACAATATTTGAGAGCTAAATCCGAAATTTTGGAACAAAAATTTGGTTGGTACTCCAGTTATGAGGATTAGAGTCAAGAAGATTTATTATTTTTACTCATTTTATCTATTTTTACTAAAAAAAAACTATTGTAAAAAAAGTTGATTTTGCGCAACAGAAAAGTGTTGCAACTTTTTTTGATTAACAACTATAAATACAAAAAACTTTTTTGGTGAAAAAAAAATATTTTTTTTTCAACCAAAAAAAATTATGGGTTGGCATTTGAAAAAAATTGCAAAAATTTGTGTAACTTGGAATTTGCAAGTAGCGGGAAATTTTTTGCAAGATTTTGCAAGATGTTAGACCAATGCCAATATTTCATGTAAGTATTAAACAAAAGAAATGTTTCAAATTATGAACCATTTTGATCCATTTGAGCAAGTTAGAGCTGTCGGAACACAATCAAGGCAAAAAAAATTAGTTTCGAGGTTTAGTGATTTTTGTCCGCTTTAGTAACGTAAATTTGCCATTTAATTGTTTAAAAATCTTAGAAAATAACTAAGAAACTCTGCATTTTAAAAATGTTCAAACCCCTCCCATACCTCCATATGTATCTATTGACTATATCATGATTAACACTGCTTGATTCAAGATAAATCCTGAGTATAGTTTGATAAACAGAGCTAAGATAAATCAGGATTAAACATGCACATGGCAAAAATCTTGAATGTTGTTCAACACCTTGGCTTTTTATTCGTCAGTTAAGTGGTTCTCTTCAAGATGACAAATAGGAAAGATTTGTATGAATTCTTACGAGACTCTATAAATTAAATAAAAACATATCTGATATGTTTAAAACTGAGGCCATAGGCCTTAATTGTTCAAACATTTGAGATAACTGAAGAGAGAGCAAGCAATTTTCTTAAGAGTTTGAAGATAAAATAGACTAGTATAGACTATGATCAGAAAAGAAAGAATGCTTGAAAAGTATGGCTGAAGAGTCAAAGAAACTGTTGATTATGAATAATGGTATGCTTTCAATAAAACTTGCAGAATTTTTGGTTGCATTCTTGAAATTCTTGGCTTCAAAACATTTAAATCGATATACAACATGTATTTTGCACACATTTTTGCAATTTTTTTGCATGTGCATGGGCCCTGGGCAAGTGTATGAAAGTTTTGGTTGCATTTTTTAAATGCTTGACCCCAAAAACATGTAAATCGATATACAACATGTATTTTGCACACATTTTTGCAATTTTTTTGCGCATGCACGGTCTCTGGATGAGTGTACGCAAATTTTGACTGCATTTGTGAAATCCTTGGCCCCAAAAACCCCTATTTTGATGTATTTCATGCCTAAAAAAGTCTTTTAAATAGTTATGTCCATTTTTTGCAACTTCTGGACCACTGTGCAACCCCCTATTTCCAGAGGTAGGTTCTCAGTCCAAAATTTAATCCTTAATTAGTTATTATCTTCTGTCTAAACCTTTATTCCACAGGTAGCTTACTGAGAACAAACCCTGATCCCAGAGGTAGGTACCTTCAGTCCAAATCTTATCCCAGAGGTAGGTTACTCAGTCCAAACCCTGATCCTAGAGGCAGGTTCCTTCAGTGCAACCCCTGATCCCAGAGGTAGGTACGTTCAGTCCAAACCTTATCCCAGAGGTAGGTTACTCAGTCCAAACCCTGATCCTAGAGGTAGGTACCTTCAGTCCAACCCCTGATCCCAGAGGTAGGTACCTTCAGTCCAAACCTTATCCCAGAGGTAGATTACTCAGTCCAAACCCTGATCCCAGAGGTAGGTACCTTCAGTCCAAACTTAAATCTTAGAGTTAGGTTACTCAGTAGGACGTACATTTAGAATATTTTTGATGGCTCTAATCCTGGGGTATTTTTAACCCCCTGTCCACTGTACAGTATACAGTATACACAGATTTCCATTTATTCATTCTTCATTAATATGTCTTTATTTTTATTGTTTCCACTTTAGGTTTAGATTTATTATTTAATCTTGGTGGTTCTTCTAGTCTTCCTTCATCACCTTTAACAACAGGTAGGCACTAGATCTTATTTTCATTAAATGTTTGAATTCATCCTAGAACGGCCGCTTAGCCCTCCCCCCCTCCCAAACTTTGTATGCAACATATCTATATTATTTGAGGGTTAGTTTATGACTTTATGGGGCAAAAGAATATTTTTTTACTCTGTTTTATATTGGATATTCGATAATGATATCATCATATTTAATTTATTATTTTGACGCTGTTCTTTGTTTACAGAGTTTCATAAAGGACTCATAGCTATCCTTGATACTATTATATAAGCTGAGGAGATTTATAATTCGGTCGCGCATTTTCTCTTGAAAGTGACCTCCCCAAAATAGTCTCATTCCAGACAGGATTAGTTCTTTACTCAGATAAAACTATGAAAATGCAATTGTGAATCATTTTAGTTCGTTTCCATCCCGAAATCGAATCTATGATAACTGTTTTCTTATGTTAAGGTTTGAATCTGACCCTAACCTCTAGCTGCTCTGGGGTTGAGGTCATCAGCTCAACCTTCAGCACAGTCAGCAGTACGTTAACCCTCACCAGCAGTACATTAACCCCTTCCAGTAGTACATTAACCCCCTCCAGTAGTACATGTACACCAGAGAGCAGTTCAAACACAACTCCTCGACCTAGCACCCACAGTACACCTCGGCCTAGTTCAAGTTCATTGAGTACACCTGGACTGAGGACTGCAGAAGGTCTAGATATACCCTTGAACAATACAGTTTCTACTCCATACTCACAAATATCATTGTCCTACAGGTGAGCGGAATTTTTTTGGTTATTTTAAACTGTTTGTCAAATCAACAATATTTTGCTCCTTTTGAATTACTTTTTTGTTAAAACTAGCTTTTCAAATCAAATCAAATATATATATTTGTCCCAAGCCAAAAACATAGAAAATATCATATTTTAAAACATATTTATAAACTTGAGACGGGGAGGCATTGATAGCCAGGGGCTGTTTAACACGCAGCCTCTCACTGGAGAGTCAGTTTTTGCAATGATGCTGACTTGAAAACTCTTGCATGGTGAATCCCACATTTACCCTGAACTTGAACCTTATCCTTCTGTTTAGAGTATCTCGGGTAGGGGGTGAGGGTGTATCCCCTAGAGACTTGACCACCAGGCTTCTTAAAACTGGATTACAAAATTCGCAGGTTTATTATTATTATTATTTATATTTTAACAAAGGGACTTTTTAATTCGATAAATAATGATAGTTTGAATAAACTTAAATCTTTCTTCTAAAGTATAGACTACTAATAAATAATGTTTAATGTCAAAGCACTGGCTTATTTCACATTTATTTTGTTCGATTTGCTTTATATTTTATTTTCATATTTTTGGGTTTTGTCCGAATATTTATTCTATTTGAAATATGAGACACATAAAACATAGAATGAGCATTTTAGTTGAATAAAAGAGTCTTAGAAATAACGAGCTATATCTAAGGTCTGCATTAGTTTGTAAAATTAGAATTTGTGGTAATTGTTCATTTCCTTTGTCATTCATAATAGGCCTAGTATAAAATTAATTAATAAAACCAGGAAACTAGATGGCATCGTTATTAACCGCTTTTTAACATATTTTGGTTTTTAGGCCTATTTAGAAGCCTTAGAAGCTTAACAAATTTCAAAATTGTATCATTTAAAAGTTTGGTTTGTTACACTATGCAATATCTTGACTAGAACCTCCCCCTAGAGAACGTCTAAAAAATCTGATGTTCAACTCGACAGGCATCATGATAAGAATAGCTAATAATTTTAGATCTCAAGTCAAGCATTCTAGGATGTTCCAGGTTCCAGCATAGTTCCTGCCTTGAAACAATCCCGTAGTCCTGGGATCATCGCCTCAAGACTAGTTCCTGATATTCATAACATTATTCTAGAATGTTCCTGCCTTGAAACAATCCCGTAGTCCTGGGATCATCGCCTCAAGACTAGTTCCTGATATTCATAACATTATTCTAGAATGTTCCTGCCTTGAAACAATCCCGTAGTCCTGGGATCATCACCTCAAGACTAGTTCCTGATATTCATAACATTATTCTAGGATGTTCCTGTCTTGAAACAATCCCGTAGTCCTGGGATCATCACCTCAAGACTAGTTCCTGATATTCATAATATTGTTCTAGGATGTTCCTGCATTGAAACAATCCCGTAGTCCTGGGATCATCACCTCAAGACTAGTTCCTGATATTCATAACATTATTCTAGGATGTTCCTGCCTTGAAACAATCCCGTAGTCCTGGGATAATCACCTCAAGCCTAGTTCCTGATATTCATAATATTATTCTAGCCAAGATTAAGTACAATAAACGCAGGTTAGAAAAACTTAGGTTGCACTGTGCACAGTCTCGCATTCACTTAAACTACTGTTAGAGTAATTTCGAGTGACCCTCCGATTCCATGCAAAGAGGACAATGATCGTCCATAGAGTGCAAAGAATTCCGTATGTAAACCTCTCGAAAAGCGTTTGAGTTGATGTAAAAACCGGGTGTAGGCTGGGTAAAGTGTGAACTCAACACAGCAGATCCACTACTGTGTCCCTCTACGACACCGATCATTTTACTTAAAAAAAAACGGGTTTCAAAAGTTCAAAAGTAAATATTTATTTTCTGCCACTTCTAGAGAGTGATCATTATTATTTCTTAAATATAAAACAGCTTACAAACAAAGTGTTAATCAATAAGACGCGTTTTTAATAAGACATACAATCAGTCGAAGGTTTGTCAGATACTGCTGTGAATCGAACACGCCAGTCTTCAAATGGAAGGTCACCTGAAATTAATGTTAATATGACGGTTTAGCACCGCAGTGGAAGGATGGAGTTAGCTTTGTACAGACAGTCTCACTCTTACACTAACCTATTTTCTATTTTCCCTGCCATTGGCATTGTCTGTATTACTTAACGATTTATTCTTCGGCCGTACATTTTTCGGAATTTATATATTAATCAAAACTATATTCTGCCACTTCACTTTCTGGTAATATTAACTTAGTATTTCATTCAAAATCGATGCATGCACAGTAATTGGTATATTCCATAATCTTATTATTATGTGCTTTCAGTAATCAGTTTATAAAAATTCTGTTTTAAAACAAGAAAAACGTTTCTTAATCATCATTGTGTATAGTTAAAACCGGGTTTGTATAAATTGTAAAAATGTTCTAGCTCGCAGAAGACAACCCCTAACAGAAGTCCGTGCAAGGCCCCAGCTCCTAGACCTAATGCACCTCAAACTTTTATTCAGGAAAATAATTTTTTTAATTGTCAAGGTTTTTTTCAGACTGTTCTATTTTTAATTGAACCTTCACTTAATTGTCAAGGTTTTCTTAGACTGTCGTATTTTTAATTAAACCTTCACTTAATTGTCAAGGTTTTATTGATTGTCAAGGGTTTTTTAGACTGTCGTATTTTTAATTGAACCTTCACTTAATTTTCAAGGTTTTTTTAATTGTCAAGGTTTTTTATTGTCAAGTTTTTTTTATTGTCAAGGTTTTTTTTAATTGTCAAGGTTTTTTAATTGAACCTTCACTTAATTGTCAAGGTTTTTTTAATTGTCAAGGTTTTTTTAAATTTCAAGGTTTTTTAATTGAACCTTCACTTAATTGTCAAGGTTTTATCGATTGTCAAGGGTTTTGTAGACTGTCGTATTTTTAATTGAACCTTCACTTAATTTTCAAGGTTTTTTAATTGTCAAGGTTTTTTTATTGTCAAGTTTTTTTTTAATTTTCAAGGTTTTTTTAATCGAACCTTCACTTAATTGTCAAGGTTTTTTTAATTGTCAAGGTTTTTTTATTTTCCAGGTTTTTTTTTAATTGAACCTTCACTCAATTGTCAAGGTTTTTTTTTTAATTTTCAAGGTTTTTTTAATTGAACCTTCACTTAATTGTCAAGGTTTTTTTAATTTTCAAGGTTTTTTTAATTGAACCTTCACTTAATTGTCAAGGTTTTTTAATTGAACCTTCACTTAATTGTCAAGGTTTTTTTAATTTTCAAGGTTTTTTTAGACTTTCGTATTTTTAATTAAACCTTCATTAAAAGAGGGTTATGCCTGATTCACAACGGCCTACCTGAAATTAAATTTATCTGATCAAAAATATTGAAGATATTGTCAATTTTCATACTTAAAAATTGTTTGATTCTGAAATTTCCTCTGTTGTTTCGGAAGCAAAAAAGCACACGTCACTTTATAGAGAACTGAGAAACCACAATTAATATGATAAATTTTGGAAGTGATGATTTTGATATCTTATATATTTTTTATCAGACAAAGCTTAAAAGAGTAGCGTTGTGAACAGGATATGCCACTCTATACATTACATGCCACTTTACATTACGTCCGCAATTCCTTCAAGTAAATGTTTTTCCGGAGACGGGTCGATTATGTCGATCTGATATTTTTACAACAAGTAGTAAGTATGCTCATTGCTCACTACAAGTCCCTCTGCTCGGTTTCAATTTAACCAAATTATTTGAACAGAGATCTGAGGATCCAGAGGATATTTTTCTAGGACATGGAGAGTCAGATAGTAGTGTTGGAAGTATTTCTAGCTCTAGGTTAGATAGAAATCAATAATATCATTATTATTACAGTAATTATGTTCAATACCCACAGGGGATAATACTTAAATGACGACCTAACAGTCTTAAAATATGAGGAGCTGAAGGTGTAAATTGGTTTTCTGGTCCTGTCAAATATACTTAATAGTTTGGTTAAAAAAGAATTTGAGAAAAACTACTTTATAATTTCTGTTTCAAATCTCATCCTTTGTGGGTAACCTTGTACAATTAAACCGAATAGTTCATGCAGTGAACTAATTGAACCCGACCTATCTATATTTAGACCTAGTAGTTAATGCAGTGAAAAAATTGAACCCGACCTATCTATATTTAGACCTAGTAGTTAATGCAGTGAACTAATTGAACCCGACCTATCTATATTTAGACCTAGTAGTTCATGCAGTGAACTAATTGAACCCGACCTATCTATATTTAGACCTGGTAGTCCATCCAGTGAAAAAATTGAACCCGACCTATCTATGTTTAGACCCAGTAGTTCATGCAGTGAAAAAATTGAACCCGACCTATCTATATATTTAGACCCAGTAGTTCATGTAGTGAACTTATTGAACCCGACCTATCCGAACTGGACGCTAACTTTAGATCTCTGTTTCAAGGAGTTGATGAATACAGGGTTGGAGTGGTAAGGATACTTTATATTTCTTGCTTTGAATAAATAAGAAATCACATTTAAAAGTTTTTTCGAAATTGGGTTCAGACTTTTCTGAAGTTTTGTCGAAATTAGGCTTCTTCATTCCTGTGAATCCATTTTTACTCTAGGCCTCTGTGTTCCTTTGTATCCCATATATCTCTATGCCGGATGCTCCTTTGTTTCTTTTATCTCAACAACTCTAAGCCCCTTTTCATCTTTTGTATCACCTTTGATACTTTGTATCTCAACTAACACTAAACCTTTTCTTTGTATCTCGACCAACTCTAGACCCCTTTTAGCCTTTAAATTACATCTAACCTAATTGTAGGGCCCGTTGTTTCATTACATTTCACCTAAATCTAGGTCACGTTGTCCCATTAAATCTATTTCAACTTTAGGCCCCCTTGTTCCTTTGTACCAAACCCAACTCTAGACACCTTTTTCTTTGTATCTTACCTAACTCTAGGCCCCTTTGTCCCTTTGAATTTATTTTAACTCTTGGCCCCTTTGGTCGTATATCACCTAACTCTAGGCCTCTTAGTTCTTATCTCACCTAACTCTTGGACCTTTGTTCTTTCCTCACCTAACTCTATCCTCCTTTGTCTTAGCTCACCTAACTCTAGGCCCCTTTGTCTTAGCTCAACTAACTCTATGCTCCTTTGTTCTTACCTCATTTAACTCTAGGTCCCTTTGTTCTTACCTTACCTAACTCTAGGCCCCTTTGTTCGTATCTCACCTAACTCTAGGCCTCTTTGTTCTTACCTCACCTAACTCTAGGCTCCTTTGTCTTAGCTCACCTAACTCGAGGCACCTTGTTCTTATCAACCCCTTTGTTCATCTACCCAAATTTTTTTTTGTGCCATTTGAAATTAAGAATAAACTTAGATAATTTGTTTTTAAGGTTTGTTCTAACAAGCTTTTGGATCATCTGCTTTCCTTCGTCGATCTTCCTCAACTAGATCGGTGGAAGATCGACGAGCTGAGTCGACTTCTAGATCCTAATCATGACAATAGGCTAGTCGACGAGGGCCAGTTTGTCGCTGTTGGTCGCAGATGGGCTGAAATGATATCAGCAACAGGTTAGAAAATTCGCAAACATTTCCAGGAAAATTCGCAAGTTTAGTTAAAGTTTTGAGATCTAAGTGCAGAAGATTTTACATTTTTTTTTTGTTAAAATAATCTGATGTTATCAGTTCTTTTCTTTTCGTATAATTTAGCAGGTAGTATTTAAGTTTCACATTTCCTTCTTTGTTGTATTAATTATACCGTTAATGTTTATTAGTTTTAATTAATATTCCATATCTTCATTAATCAATATCGACTAATGAATTAAATATATATATTATTTTAGGACTAGGGCATGATGATGTGGTCCTTTGTGGACCTAATACCTCTGAGGAACAGGATAAGCCGGACCTGGATAATGTGAGTTATGGAAGTGTCGAGGGACTTGGTGGATTGCCGGGGTGTGATAGTAGAGAAGTAGAGCTAGAAAATAGGTAATAGTTATATATATTCGTTCTTCATACCAGTTTTTCGGATCCGGATCCTCGGTCCGTCCTTAAAAAATTGGATCCGTATCCAAAATTAAATATATAGCTATAATATTTTGAAAATGATTCTATGTTTCTGTATGTATCGTTTTTAGTGCTCATTTTAAGAATGGTTAACGTCAGACAGTTTATTCCAAAATATTTCTTTAATTTTTTTTTTGATTCAAGCATGGAAAGAGAAATTCAATTTTAGATAAAAAAAAGAAAAATAACAATTATAATTTGAAAAAGGATTTTAAAATTATGTAATTTTACTGTTTACATATATGTATTCTTTCGCACTCTTTTACGTCAAAGATATAGAAACTTTAAATTTGATTAAGTTTGGTTCAGAATCTTTTAACTCCAAACCTAATCTAAAAAGTAACTTCTAATATCAATTATATCCAGATGTAGTGAGCTAAGATATCAACTGTGTAAGCAGCAAGAAGATTACGCTGATCTACAGACTGCTCTCTCCGCAACAGAGGAAGCAGCAAACTCTCTGTCCTGGGAGCTGGATGCTGCTAAACTAAAAATTTCAGCTCTCAGTAGTGGACTAGAGAGAGCTAGCAGCTCTGCAGAAGAAGCTGAAGGATTAGCAGCTGCTAACAGATTGGCTGAAGAGCGTTTAATCAGTCTCACCGCTAATCTGGAGGAATATAAGGAAGCATTAAGACGCAAGGATGAAGAGCTGCTTGAAAAGGAGCAACTGTTTGACAAGCTGAGAGTGGAGGCAGCAGCTGCTGTACGGAAGGAGAAGGCAGCAGCTACAGAGCTTGTTGAGAAGGAAGCTCAGCTTCAGCAGCTTCTAGAAGAACTGGAGAACAAGGATGAGATCAATGATAAACTTGAAGAGGCAAAACAGAGGAAGGATGGAGAACTTGAAGCTGCTGGACGGGAACTACTCCGACTAGAGACCGAACTAGGAGCTAGAGAAGATGAGATTAAGAACCTGACTTCAGGGTTCGGTTCCCCGAACACTGGAAGCATTCACGGAGCGAACATTCTTGATGTCAGCGTAGATGACAAGGTAGTACAGTATCTATAATCTATAGAGTATATTAAATGGAGTTCATTGCCCATGTCATGTCTGATTTACAACCTTTACGCTTAAAAGCAATTTCTGTTCAAGAACGAATGAGGTATCCATGTTTTCATCTCTTAAAATCAACTGTTTTCAAGTGGAGTTTCTTTGCAAACCAGGAAAATCAGAAAATCTACAACATTTTCGAGTCGACAACGGTTAAAATGGCATCTTTGTAAATTGGGCATGTCCTTATTTAAATGGAGAGTCACTTGAAATTTCAACAACAGTCCTATCAAAACAAAATTTGATTTTAGGTATTGGAAGAGTTTAATGAGAGTAATAGTCCAAACCCTAAACGTAGCTTCCCTCTGACTCCCCTGGCCCGGGGACCTAGTGCTAGCTCTACACCTGCTAGGGGTAGAAGAGGGAGTATAGTAGAGGAACTCAGAGATGTAGGATTCCCCTCGCCTCTCTGTGGGAAGGGGGTTCAAGAGCACAAGTTGTACACAAGGCTACAGGTTTGTACAATAAAATACTATTAATTGGTTAATTGTGTTTTCAACCAAAAAAATAGCTCAGACACTTTAAATAATCTCAGGGACAATAAATTGAACCTTGTTTTTAGGCTGAGATAGGAAGATGGCAGGAGAGCGTTAGAAGAGTTATTATTGCTGAAGTAGATCCAGCGTTTACTGGTAAACTCATATCTGCTGTTAACAAGGTTATGGAGGGGATACAGAGGGATATCCTACTCCAGATAGATACTGCAGGGGTAGATGTATCCAAGGAGAACGAGGAGTTGAGAAGAGAACTGGAGGTGCTTAAGGAGGAGTTACAGCACTGTAAGGATGAACTAGAGAAGGAGAGACAGTGCGCTGTAGTCAAGTATAATGATAGAGCAGAGCTGCATGATATTGAACTAGTAGAGAACAGGGTTACAGAGATGGCAAATCTACTCCAGGCAGCAAACCGTGCTCTGTTAGCTGCAGGGCAGAGTATGAGTCGAGAACCTAGTAGACCAACTACTCCAGACCAGACTAGTATTGACGAGGATCCTCTTGGAGGCTGGCAGCTTGATCTCGAGGGTATTGAGCTGATAGAGTGCAACAACAACCTGAGTAAGATGCTGCTCCAGTATTCTAAACAGCTGAGACAAGACCTTAGTAGAGCAGAGGCTGGAGCTAACACTGAGAAGAGGAAGCTATGGTTGTCTTCACTTTACACTAGGCTAGAGGATCTACAGGAGGAAACAGAGAAATCAAGGTATATTTTCTTTACACTAGGCTAGAGGATCTACAGGAGGAAACCGAGAAATCAAGGTATATTTACTTTACACTAGGCTAGAGGATCTACAGGAGGAAACAGAGAAATCAAGGTACATTTACTTTACACTGAACTTCTTAAACACGTCTTGTCCAAGTCTCTCAACGTCTACTAATCAGAAAGTTAGGGTTGAATTGAAACAAAAACACGAAATACAAAAAGATATTATTAATATTTTCTGAACATCGTATACTTGAAGGATATTGCGTAAAGCTTTGCTCAAAACTATCTCTACCAAATTTCCTTGAAACCTCTATTACTATTTTACTCTAGGTGTCTTCTACAACAAGCTGGTGAGAGCTTTAGAGAGCAGCAGGTCCAGCTCCAGCTTCAGACAACAAAAGATGTTTCAATCCTCAGGTTTCCTAAAACTCAGTCCTGTCAAACAGAACCTTTACACCTGGAGGAGGTTGAACTTGTTGAAGGAGTTGAAGCTAAGGAGGTTGAGGAGAAGGTTGAGAATAAGAGTAAAGGAGCTCTGGGCTGGTTCAGCTACCTGGTGGGTTTCCTAACTCTTCTAACTCTTCTCCTTCTCTTTACATTTATGTGTGGTGTTGAATACGAGGGTAGGGTCTACTATCCTATCACGTATTCTCCTTTCAGGTTTGTCCCTTGTCCTTGATATTATAATCTACCGGGGATAGTATTATCTGGTTCAAACTCGAGTAAATATAAAATGTAAATAAGGAGGACATAACATAAGAAGTGTGTTGTTTGAATGGACCCCNCCCCCTCCTTCTTTTATCTCTTTCTTTAAAAGCAAATTATGTGTTTCTTTTTTCTTAATTTTTTGGGATAATAGAAGTCATATTTGAGGGATGGCAGGTTTGTGATTTTGTGCATGGTTTGAATTGTATATCCTATATACTACTAACAAAATGATAAATTCATCAATGGAAAGATAAGAAAAAAATTGTCAGATTTAGTTAGAGTTGAAACTCTTAAGTTAAGTTACTGATTATAGTTTACTTCCATCTTATATTCATTATTTTTAATTATTCATTAATCATTGACGAATGGGCCAAAATGTGTTTTTTTAAATGTTGTTATTTAAAAAATATATATTCTGGAAAAAAAATGATAAAATTAAAATATTTCAGATCTCTAGACTGGGTTCCCGCTCCTCGAGTCAGCATCAGGCTAACAAGGAGCTACAAGATCTGGTAGATTCTAGTTCCAACCCTTCTCCGGGTACCCCTAGATCATATAGTTCTAACCCTACTCCTGGTACCCCTAGATCCCATAGTTCACCTAAGGAATGTACTGAGCCTAGATTATCTCTAGTAGCTAAACCTTGTATTATAGAAAGTGGATCCTGGGTTATCCTAGACACTTATCATACCAAGTTTATATAAGAGTGACAGATGTAAGAAAATATTCTAGTAATAGTTGCATTTATCTTACAGGAAAATACTCGGCAATAAGATTATATGAATACCTAAACGTAAAACCTTTGTGAAATTAGTAAAAATGGTGAATGTTTAAAATTGTTGCAGTAAAAGATATTTAACCAGGGTTAAAATTTGATCGTCTTCCAATGTGATTTATATCCAAATTCTAGTGATTGGTGCTACAAGTAGTAAAAAGGGATATATATGTATTTATTTGTAAAACTACTATATTCTAATTATTTTTACAACACTTGAAACAGTTCTTTATAGCTTTATTTGTAGGATCAAGTATTTTGACATTGAATAGTTAATAAAACTAGTAAATTTTGTTTGCTCAGATAAACCAAACATTAATCTTGATAAATTGTATACTGTATACTGTATATCCCTTTAACTGTCGACTAAGCAGTAAACAAAACTCTTCAGTTTCGACATTTATTTTATGTATTTTCAATTTAATTGACTCAAATATATATATTTACGAGCATAGAATGTGTTGTTTAATCTTGAAACTGTATTTGTTCAATATTAGATCTTGATCCATCCTCATCCTCTGGGTTTATAATTATCATTGAATCCTCGTTTCCAGCAGTCTCAAGTCTCTCGTCTACATTTCCACTAGCATCAACCCTGTCCTCTACTCCTGAACAATTAATTGTTTATGAGGTGTAACCTTCAATAAAAGATGTGTATGTAACACGAGAAAATATTCAAGATTTTTGTAACATGGAAACTGTGTGACATTTCATTAATTGTTTTAGTCAACAAACTTTGATCTAGTGCTGTGATTCCTCCCAGAATAACTAATTTGTAGAAAGTTTTATGCAAACTGTGAAATTAGAAAATTTGACTATTCAATGTACAAAATAATTGTCTCCTCTCTGTTCTTCTTGCAGAATCATGAACGACATGAATAGAGTTTAGCGGATTCATTACAGACATGAATAGAGTTTAGCGGATTCATTACAGCCATAAATAGAGTTTATCGAACTCATTACAGACATGAAGAGAGTTTAGCGGATTCATTACAGACATGAATAGAGTTTAGCGGATTCATTACAGCCATGAATTGAGTTTATCGGACTCATTAAAGACATGAAGAGAGTTTAGCGGATTCATTACAGACATTAATAGATTTTAGCGGATTCATTACAGACATGATTAGAGTTTAGCGGATTTGTTACAGACAGGAAGAGAGTTTTGCGGATTCATTACAGACATTAATAGAGTTTAGCGGATTGTTTACAGACAAAAATAGAGTTTAGCGAATTCATTAAGGCATGAATAGAGTTTAGCGGATTCATTACAGACATTAATAGAGTTTAGCGGATTTGTTACAGACATAAATAGAGTTGAGCGGATTCATTACAGGCATGAATAGAGTTTAGTGGATTCATTACAGGCATGAGTAGAGGTTAGCGGATTCATTACAGACATGAATAGAGGTTATCGGATTTAAAAAAAAAAACCGCCTTTAAGCCTTAACCTAGTAAATATACTCCGGCAGAAATGGATATTACAATTCTAAGGCTCAACGGAGACTATTTTGAAGGCGTCACTCAATTCCCATATTATTTGGCCACCATATACTGCAAAAATGTAAACAAAACTACCCCTTGAATTCGTGATTAGTAAAACCTAATAAGGAAAATTATTTCTTGATGACCTAGAACTTTTTATTAGAAGTGAGTAAGAACTGAATTAAGTAAGATATTTGAACTGATCGAGTTCAAGTCTAAGGAAATAGTTTTAGCAAGTTCATCTTATTTCAATTTAAGACGATGCTAAGGCCTTCTACGAAAGTAGAGCCTAACTATTTGAAAAATCAAAATAGCAAAACGCGGAAAATTTTTTAAATTTTGAATCATACGGTAGTTGGCTATTTTATCAATATAATGAAGACTACTTTCGATTTCAATTTTGATTGATATCAAGCTTAAAAAGCATGGATACACAAAAATATGGAAACAAAGAGAAGCTGTCAATTAAAAAGGTTCTCTTTAATTACTTGTTAAGTTGTAATTCGAGAAAAGCTTGTTGACAATTAAAACTTAAATAAAAAAGTCGTCTTCATTATATTGATATAATTGCCTACCACTGTACATACAATATACATCAACTCGACATTAAGTTAGGTTAATTTCTCTAGCAACTATTTTACCTACCTGTTGATAGGTTGGTTTCTCTAGCAACTATTTTACCTACCTGTTGATAGGTTGGTTTCTCTAGCAACTATTTTACCTACCTGTTGATAGGTTGGTGGATGTGTCAATATTATGGTCAGTATAATGAGAATATATTGGAGAACTAGAAAGAGATACAGATTTATTATCATTGTACAAATAAAATAAAGCTATAAATGTCAGTAATTTAAACTCCAGCCTGTTTCACAGATAGCATACAGACTTCAGAGACGAATTGTGGAATGATATACTGTCTATTTCCTAATTTGCTAAATCGCTTATTTAGCTGGTAAATCGTTTATTTAGCTACTAAATTGTTTATTTAGCTGCTAAAAGACTAAATTTAAACCAGCCGACTTTATTTTACCGTGGGGTCGTAATATTTTTAGAGTTTTAGCTCATCTCTATGGTCTCATTCTTTGTGGTTGAACCTGTAGCCTTAGTTGAACCAATCGCATATAGTTTAACCACTTCTTTCTATTCATGAATTTTCAACTCTGATTTATTTTATCAAGTACAGAATATCTTTCCTGAGATGAGTTCGCCGAGTAAAAATTAAGAAATATATATTTTCCTCTAAAAACCTCCGAATGTATTCAATTAAAGCCTATCTTGCACTATCAAAGTAATCATCAGTTCTTTTTCGCTTACACGACTGGAAAATAATCCTAACATATATACCACAGGGTGATTTTTAAAAGTCGATTATTTAAAATGTTCACCAAAGTAAAACAAGGTACAACAAAAAGATAATTTTGATATTTATTAACTCGTTATTACTTGGCATTTGAGAAAGAAAGAAATTATCTCCAGCATTATGAATCTTTCTCTGTTTCAGGAGGCTCTCAAACAGCTTCCAAACTTCGAACCCGATATTTGGACTATTTGACTTATTTACATCATATGGAGGAGGAATTTAATATTTTGAAAACTGGAATCGTATTCTATAGGTCGTTCATATATTTAGGGTCCTTAAAAATTTTTACAACTGGTCTGGAAATTATTAAAATTAAAAAATTTTGAAGAAATAGTTTAGATTAGAAAAATGCCGGAAAAGGCAGTATTTTTTACACTGTTTGACCTGAGCTGAAAACTTTAGAATGGAATATCCTTAATCCCGATCGGTAAATAAATCTGGAGATTAATATTAAGAGGAGAACAAGCATTATTTAATCTGGAGATTAAGAAAAGAGTGGATCAAGCATTAATCCCAATATCCACCATTCAAAAGTTTCCAGCTCTGTTTAAGGGAGACCTGTTGCTTCGAAGATTATCAAATGTCAGACAGAAAATAAGAAAGTGTAGATCTTTCATCCAATTAAAAAAAACCGACTTTTAAAAATCACCCTGTACAGTGTAATTACTACATTCATGATCAATCAAATATATAATCTGTATCCCTGATCAATCAAGCATATCATCTGTATCCCTGATCAATCAAATATATAATCTGCATCCCTGGTCAATCAAATATATAATCTGTATCCCTGGTCAATCAATTATATAATCTGTATCCTTAATCAATCAAATATATAATCTGCATCCCTGGTCAATCAAATATATAATCTGTATCCCTGGTCAATTGAATATATAATCTGTATTCCTGATCAATCAAATATATAATCTGTATTCCTGATCAATCAATTATATGATCTGTATCCCTGATCAATCAATTATCTGTATCCCTTATCAATCAATTATATAATCTGTATTCCTGATCAATCAATTATATAATCTGTATCCCTGATCAATCAATTATCTGTATCCCTAATCAATCAATTATATAATCTGTATTCCTGATGAGTAATCCGTTAGTAAAATCATCATCTCTGTCAATGTGTTCCTGTTCAGCATGTTCAGGTTGAGGTTGGGAAGATGGAGCTGAATCCTCTAGTCAGAAAGAAACAAGAATGTAAAACTTAAAAAGGTGGGAGAGGGTTCAGGATCTTTTTATTGTACAAAGAGAACAAGATAACTCTGAAATAGGAAGACGACTTTTAGACTCAATTTATGACTTCCAATGGTCATGAGGCACAACCATCGTTCAGTGTAAACAGGCCCAGTTAACTTGCTAAAATGTTGTCTTCCTATCACAAAGTTTTCTTGTTCTCACTTAATATAGTCCTAGTATAGAGCCAAAGTATAGAAGGGTGCAACTGTGCAATTCGATGATTGTCAGATTTAAAGACAAACTAAAATGCTAGATTATTCCCTTTTTAATTGAAAATGTTAAATTTATCTAGTTTTCTCTTTTAAACATTTTTTTTTGTATACGATTACTTATTGTTTCTCTGTATCCCTGTTTGAATGGGTTCTACTGGCTCTGGAGCAGGTTGGGGTTTCTCCGGGTTCGGAGAAGGACTGGAGAAAACCTTAAACAAAGAGAATTAATCTTACACATACCCTTAGTGTTAGCAAAACTGAAAGATAAAAAAAACAATAAAAGATTTCATGATAAACAGTTTTTTATCAAAACAGTTTGATTTGAATACAATTAAATTTTTAAACATTTTGTTAAACTTGAGACTACTTTTCCACGGTAAAATATTGCAATTTTCGATTTAAATACAGTTTTAAATTTGCACAAAAGCAAAGAAAGAAATCATTCAGAATCAAAAATAGTTTTTATTTGACTGTAAACCGTAATTCAGTGTATTTTCAAATAGAATATTAATTATGTATAATTCTTAAAAAAGTTTAAGAATAGCCATTTTTACTTGCCCTTTAAAGTTCGTAAATAAAAAATTATTATGTAGCATAATAAAATGTTATCGGTATGAACTGAAAGACATTTTCCAATAAGTGAGAAAAAAAAACTCTTTTTATAAAGATATTTGTAAAGCAAGAATAAAATTTGAAAAAATCAAATCTAACTTTTTTCTGTGCTGACAAACCTTGGTTCTATATATATAAATATATGCTGCCACTGCTACTCCTGCTGCACTAACTGCTGACAACAATAGAACTCTATTCTCAACCATTGCTGACAAGAACTGATAACGCTGTCACAAATTAGAATTGCTGTCACGTATATGTTTCAGCGACTAATTTCACTAAGAAACTGAAGTTCAGACAGTAAAAGAATTGGGAAAGCAACGTGTGTCGTATTCTGACGTGTGTGCGTGCATACAGTACACCACCGGCTGTTATCAAGGTATCTTGTTCTTTTCACCCTTTTAAACTTTTTTAAAAAAAATCAAAGCAAAACTTATCACCCAACTTTGCAAAAGAAAAATTTCGAATTTTTAGCATTCTCATCATATTTTTGGCGACCTTTTTTTCTTTCTTTTTTAAGATTTAAAACTATATATTTTACTTATGTAAATCACGTGACGTTGTGCATTTTCAAATGTCTCAGTCTCCCTGTAGACTGGAGATCTGCCTGTATTTGGCTTGAATCCAGATATGTCCTGTTACCAGGCAGCGGGTAGATCAAAGATTTTACACCAAACTCAATACAAGAAATATAGAAAACTAGCTGGAGTACCCAGCGTTGCCCAAGGAATTTTTTAAAAATTCGAATTAAAAAATTGAAAAAAACTTCAAATTTTGAAAAAAAAATTCTGATTTATTTAGCCTTTGTTATCACCAAAGGTACCCAAGGGTTCCCTAAAAAACAGTCGATTTGTTTCAGCCGTTTGGCCAGCTTAGCTAACATATAAATATATATAACATGGGGGGCGTAAAAAAGGCTAAACTACAGAAAATCAAGTCTTTGCAAAAAAAGGGCAATTAGAACAGTAAATAATAGTTCATTTAAGGCACATTCAGATCCAGATATTTTTCAGATTAGCACTCCTAAATCTTGATGATACATATAAACTAGGTGTTCTATCTTTTATGCATAAATACGTTTATGAAAACCTTCCAGCTTCCTTCCATGATATGTTTAATTCTGTAGCTGAACCAAATAGAACAAAATCATATAAACTTGAACGATTTCTCTTTAAAACTCTAGAATGTTTTCCCTCTGCTTTATTTCCAAAAATATGGAATTCGATTGATTTTGATGATAATTTTGCCAATAACTTACTAAAAACTAAATCTAAAAACAAGTATTTTAAAAAGTTTGGGGCTAAAAAAAGTAGGAATGAGTTAGTAAGATAAAATCAAAGGAAAAGGATGCAACTTTCCATGTGCATTAGAACATTAAATAAATAAAATAAAATATATATTTGTTTATCTAATATTTTACATAGAAACAATAACATCATATTATTTAATGGCAGTTAGGAGTAAATTTTACTCAGAGGGTTCTTAACATTTTTCCAGGGTGAAGGGGAGTGAACGCCCGATCGGGGGTCAGTAAACAAATTAATTTTTTCTTTTTAAGATTAAGATTTTTTTGATAAAAGGCGTAAAAAGGATTGTTTTTAATTAAGGTCTCTTGAAATGGCAGTTTTATTTAATCACATTTATAATTATAGTGGAGCTATTGTAACATACTTCCACTGTAGAGAAATCTGAAGCTATCGCCATAATTTCTGGGTTTTATTCAGGGGCGTACTCAGGGATTTGTCAAATGGGGGGATTTTGTTTTTCTTTCCAGGGGTGGGGAGGGGCTCAGTACCCATTGGGTCCTGAAAATCCCGTGAAAACCATACATTTTACTAATCTAAAGGAGCTCAGCCCTCGTAACCCCTACCCCTGAGTACGCCCCAGGTTTTGAATTTCTTATCCCCCACGCTGGAACCCTAGATGCTGTTCCTCCTCGGCAACCTTAGGAAACGCGCGGAACGCAAACGCGCACTGGACTTTGCAAACGTGATCTTGGAGAATATCGCGCTGGGAGAAGGATTGCGCGAGATGGAAACAATTTTCTATTTTTAAAGATTGGCAGACGGGGCCCTCCTTCGTGCACGTGCACATTGTGCACGGAGATATGCGCTTCGCGTCACCGATCTCGATCGGAGTATCTCCTACATTACACTTGAGACGATCCTTCCATAGATCCAGGTTGATCGAAGGAACTGCTGTGCACGGAACGCGCGGATTCAGAAACGGATCAGGAATATCAAAAAGTGCACGTTGGATGTTTCGCACACTTTCACAGTTGTCGCAGACCACGCGTCCTAGACTGGCTTTCCGGATTTCCGTAAGCTGTGCATCCGTAAATCTGAGGAGAGGGTTGTCACCCTCGTACCAGAACCGATCACATTTCCGTAAGTTCCGGAACTGGATTCCTAGAAACAATATAGGTTTGAAAATTCCAATTCTAACATTTACACAAACTTGCTTGGGTACCCAGATTCGCCTGGAAACTAAACTTTTTGTATATAAAACACATTCCCTGGTTCCCTGATTAAAAAAATGAGGCGACTTGAAACAGATATTACTATTTTATAATAGATGTAGTAAACAAATTATTTATTAAAATATTACCGATTATGCAGGCAAAGGTTGGTCCGATTAGACCACCGTGCAGGGGTGTCTCAGATAGTCCACCTAAATTATTATCATTATTTTAATTATTAATATTATCATTTTCTTCTATAATTCTGTATCATCATCATTAACGTTATTTTCATTATTATTATCAGCGATTTTTAACTGGTTTAGTATTACAAAGAAACTATATTATTTGCAAAACTAAAAATCTGTTTTTTGCATTGTATTTTGCATAAACTTTGTATGGATGCATGTTTACTGTTCATTAACTAATTATACTAATTTAAAACCTGTGACCACTGACCATGTTGACCAATACCTCTCGTCTCAACGATTCCAATTAACGGTTGGTTAAACAGACTGTTGAGTAATTTTGAGTAAACCGCTAATAAAAGAAGCGTATGCCCATTTTGCAACCCGTACCCTAGAACCCCTAATCGGATCAAGTTAAACAAGTTTTTAATTCTGATAATTTCTCCATTTTTTCTGATGCAAGAAATGTGTAAGTCATATTTGAAGAGAAACCACAAATGAAAATAAACAGTTTTCAAAAACAAAAACATGAAAATCTTATTCAGAAATATATTAAAGACATGGAATTTCTAATGTAGGCTCACTCAATCTTACGCTCGTCGCTCAAAGTCCTTTTAGACTGTAAACATGTTGAAAGGGAGGGGAGGATACCACAATCCCCACCTGGAAGCATGTTGAGAGGGGGGGATACCACAATCCCCACCTGGAAGCATGTTGAGAGGGGGGATACCACAATCCCCACCTGGAAACATGTTGAGAGGGAATGTTTGTTAAGCCCTACTTCCCATATTTGTTAAGCCCTACTTCCCATGTTTGTTAAGCCCTACTATCTATGTTTGTTATGCCCTACTGCCTTTTTTTGATAAGCAATACCTACTGCCTAAGTTTGTTTATCCAATTGCCTGTGTTTGTTAAGCCCAATTTCGTATGTTTGTAAAGCCCTACTTCCTATTTTTACCTATTCCCTACGGCCTAAGTTATTTTCATACATTTGACTGTTTTTGTTATGTCCATATTTCCTGTGTCTGGATTACAAAGAAGATGGCAGGAAAACATAAACCTCCCCCCCCCCCCCACACACACACACCACCATTGCAAACATATTTCGCAGAATATAACTGTTTTATTTGCACAGTTCTTCAAACATGCATTGCAAAAACCTTTTCGCTAATCAAATCTAATGCGTGTATGAAGGGTATGGAAGAGGGGGGGGGGGGCGGGGGACTAATTAGAAATTTTTTAATAATCCTCAATGATTATTTTTTAAATGAATAAAAAGTTCTACAGAAATATTATTTTTAGAAAGTTTGACCCATCACAACTCTGATATTAAGATTGTAATCGAATTCTTCTAATTGTTTGGATATGTACTGTTCGCCTCTGATTGGTTTCTTATAAAACTATCCATTGCAAAGATCAACATGCTATAATCTAGAACATACTGATAGGAATAGCTAAGAGTTTTTTATCAGGGGGAGTAACAACAAACATTTACGATATTCACGATACGGTCTTTGAAAAAATACACATTTTGCAGTTTAGTTTAAAATATATTATTTTTTATGTTAAATCTAACCTGTAAAAAGATCAATATCATCCACATGAGCATACGTTCTTCTCAATCGTTCAATCACTGGTGGCGCCACCTCGCGGCCAAGCCCATCAAAACCGGATGCACGTGTTAGATTACAAATGGCTCTGTAATGGTTGTATCCCGGAATCCCGTGGTCTCTCGCTCTCTGCAGGTTCAGCGCAATTAGATCCATCCCGGAGAATGGTACCCCCTTCTTTTCGAACAAATGGTTCGTCACTTCATGCGTCACAAATTGATCCAAGGTTTCCATAGAAGTTGTGGACACACCTCGGATAAGCTCATCAAGCATACCAGGTTCTATCAGCTTGTCAGCATCAAAGAACATGTCACTTAATTTAAGCTCGCCATTTTCTGCAAAATCACCTCCCATCCGCTTAAAATTAGGCTTGAGTAAACTATGACCAAATCTGAATGCAGCACTGGCAAATTCGTTTAGAATTGTTGGGTTACATGATTCGTCATATCCACGGTAGTAACCTTCAGGAAGCAGGTTCAGTTCGTACAGATTTACGGCGTTCCAGCCCAACACTCGGGGGAGGAACTCGTTGTAGGTTATATGGGTCTGGATGGCTATACCAATCCTTCTCCCCTCCTGGTATAGTTTCTCATCAGACCACTGAGGGTTGAGCTGGGCTAGTTTATCAACTATTCTGTTATGCTCCCTCATAAAGAGGGTGTGGATGGCTGCTAGAACAGGCTGTTCACTGCTTCTAGCATCTCCAGCTTCAAAACAGAATCCACTTTTAGATTTACATTCTTCATTCTCATCTGTCAGAGGAAGTAGGTCTTTAGCTCCCCTTGCACTTGTACTGTTTAATCGACCTCCGAAAAATGATCTCAATTCTCTCATTTCGCAGACATCTGAACCATAGACGTTAGATGCATCAGCGAAGGATGTGATCTGATTGATCTGCTCTCTGAACCCCAGTGTGAGCTGTCCCGGCATCGATCTGGTGAAACCAAGGCAAAACTCCTCCCCTGAAGTGATATTAATCTGAGGGAAGTATGGATCTCCTTGTGGTATAGGAATAGGTAAACATTCAGGATGTAATCTAGTCTGAGAATCACAAGCTTTACAATCAAGAATAGAGCTAGAGAATCCTCTATTGACAGGGGTATGGGTGAGATCATGATCAACAAACTGAGCCCATTGCATCAACATAAGAGAGTATCTGACATGGGGAGCAGACACGTCGTTATGAATGTTAACAGAGATTAGACGTGGACTGGGGAGAGGTGCTCCAGTAACAGATCTACTTCGTGGAGACATCAAACCATCATCATAGGCCGGAGCTAGCAAGCGAGTGAACCCTCTCACAGATTTGCCGTACTCTGGGAAATCAAGATTGTTGCACCACCCTGTTATAGTTCTGTACTTTGTGGTGTGATCACAAGGAAGGGTTTGTTCATCACACTGAAAAACCTTTGGGATCTCCATAACATCTGACAAGTCAATATTTGGAAGTACATCCATCAGATCTTGCAAATCATTCGGGTTATTATCATTAAACTCAATATCCTTGAGCTGACGGTACTTTCTCCCGCTTTCATCCGCTTGAAGTAGATTATCAAGGAACCGTCTTGAGGCGAACTGGAGAACAAAGGAAGAGTTGGAAACTTCAACTGATTGTCGCTTTGGCTTCATGAATCCGTATGCAGAACCCGTTGGAGATTTCGGATCCGCCATTTGTCCAGAGTTCCAGAGATTCCACTCCCGGTCCTGTATCTTCTTCACATCCCTCCTAGCTCTCTCTACAGCATCTAGCAGCATATTATCAGGAACTATAAAGCGAGGAGAGGCAGTTGCCCATTTCTTCAGATTCATTGTTTTAATCATATTGTCCTCGTGACAGGCCATCAGAGCATTGAGGAACGGATCTGCCTGAATGAAAACATTAGGCTGGACAAAATCAATGGAGTTTGTGTTTTCACACAACACAGAAGCTAAAGATATTTTTCTAATTTCATTTAGTTGATCCTTGGTGAAGGATGAGGGAGGAATATCGTTCTCATACCAGTATCTATCTCCGCGCTTGTAGTAGTACATCTGTCTGCCAATAAGACAACCAAAAGTAGGTCCAACAGCGGCTCCCTTGTTTGGTATCTCAGCTAGTCCACCGGTAAACAAATCAATATCTCTCACATCCTTGTAAACTGCACTCAGCTTATCAACCGTAGACTGAGGCATGACCTCATTGAGGTCGGAGAAGGAGTTGACTGGGGGGAGATCACACAGCTTTCTCCACTCTGTGTATCCAGGTACACCATGATCTCGACCTTGTTGAATAATCTGAGCTGCAAGATCCAACCCAACTCCAGTCTCAGGGTCCATAAACATCTTACTCGTCATTGCCTCACCGATAAATATGTCCTCGTTCTGAGCATGTCCTTTAATTAGACCTCGGAGAATCTGATCCAATTTCTCAGGGTCATACATCTCAAAGGGTTTATAGAATGAGTCTGAAATATCCTTGGACTCGAGTTTCCGTCCGATCCTGTCAAAGTAGGAAAACTTAGCTGGCATCAGAGAAGCAACAAACCTCATTGCTGCAGCAGCGACACTATTAGCTGTTCCAGCATTAGTGTTGATATCATAACCTGACATTAGTTCAAATCAAGAACAATTCATAACTTTTTACTAATCAAAATCTAGTTATTTCTCATAATCATTTTATAATCCTTATATCTTTCCAACCTGATGACGTAAACCTTTGATATTTCAAACTATTCATTCTTCTAGATCTAAAAGAGAAAGTTGAAAAAAATAAAGGTTTTTTTCCAGCAGGTTGCCAAGATATAGGATGATTAAAAAATAGAATTTGTGACGAGTAACCAGTTCCTATTTTGGACTATTTGCATGGTAGGATGATTCCTTCTGGAATTTAGGACAAAAATGTCTGATTTGAACTTGATGTTCCTGTGAAAAAGCCTGATGTCTCTGATGAGAGACCGTATCTATCCATAACTGCCTTCCCAAGTATAACCGGTAAATACTCGTTATACGTGATATGCTGGATCTGAGCCCCTACAATCCGACGGGTCTCCTGATTCAAGAAAATACAATTAAAACTTTTCTTTTTACAAATGCAACTGTCGTTGGAATGCATACACGATTCACACAAACTACATTTTAAACCATTATCTGATCATTAATAGAGAAGATATTGTCGTTTTTTCTAGCTCGAAAAGTGTCGTTTTTCTGACATCCACAAGTCACTTCAGATAGAAATTTATGCATTCCTTGTATAATGCATGATCAGACAAACCTTTTATGTATATTGTTGTGAATCAGACATGCCAGTCTAGAAATGAGGGGTTACTTAAAATTACACTAATCAGGAAAATGTACATTTTGGAAGTAGCCGCATAGTTATTTGAAATAACTAACAGTGTACACTCACCTTCTGAATCTAATTAAAGCGTAAATGGTAGGAATTTAAAAAAAATGTTACTTTTCAAATTATTTTTTTTCACCTGGAAAATCTGTTCATCATTCCAGTGTGGGTTGATATCAGCCAGCTTGCGGGCCAACCTGTTATGCTGCCGCAACCAAAGGGTATGGATGGATACCAAACCTAAAATATAAAAAAATGGTAAGAAGTAAATTTAAAAAAGTATTTTAAATTAATTTTAATAATGTCACATGTCATCAACATAATTAGGGACATTTGACCCTTTATCTGAGAATAAACGATAAACTTTATCTCTCTATGATTGATTTAAGACAACTCAAGTATTGATAGGTGCCTAATAACAAAGTTTAGATCAAAATATAGATTTTACGACATATAAACCTTCTCAGGATGTGGTCTTAGTACCTTCTTTGTATTTTATAAAATGACAATTTTTTACATGTTTTGACAGTTTTGGTTTTATTTTATAAATTAAATTCTGAACAAATAAAAAATGTTAAGCACAGAATCATGGATTTTTTATGATAAGTGTTACAACCAGTGGCTTAATTATTTACAGTGCTTTAGTTTATGTCCTTTTTGACCCCTGCCCCACCCCCCTTATCGTTGGTTGCAAGACAGAAACTTATAGGCCTGCAATCATAAGAAAATGAAGATCAGATCTGAGAATTTATTGCAGGGTAGCCGGGCTAGGGTGTGTTTTATTAGAATTCCAATGATACATCAAGATTAAAGATTAAACCGTTAAAATGAAGATATTTCTCTAATGGAGTCAATAAATAGGTTTTAAAAGCTTATTTATAGTATCATCCTACATCTATAGTATAACATTATAAAGTGTTTACTTATTAACAAAATTATATTTTATAATTCAAATCATGCTGCAACTTTGCAACCTGTATTCTAACTGCTACTTAGTAATCTTATTCAATCTAACCATTACACTTTTACTATTCATACCACTCCTTCATTCTTATCATCCCACTCATCCTACCCTGCTCATCTTACTCATCCTATTCATCTTTCTCATCCTACTCATCCTACCCTGCTCATCCTACTCATCTTTCTCATACTACGCATCTTTCTCTTCCTTCATTCTACTTATCCCATTATTTCTACTTATCCTACTCATCCTACTAATCATACTCATTCTACTCATTCTACTCATCCTACTTATTCTACTCATCCTACTTATCCTCTTAATCCTACTTATCCTACTTAGCCTACTTACTATAATCTTCAATGTACTAGTTACAAACTCCTGGTTATCCTAATTATACTAATTATCCTAATCATCTTCATTATATTCATTAAGTTTTATCTCTTTGTGTGTTTATTATCCAGACCCTAACAAGCCGGCTAACATGACTGTCACTATTCACTCTAAACATAAGATTATCTAAATGAGCTAGGTATTCAGGGCGCTTTGCACACCTTTTCTAGTAATAATTTTAACTTTCTGATGTTGCATTTCTAGCCACCATTTTTCTTTGCAATTGTTAAGCTAAAAATTTCGTGGTTTTTTGTTAAAATTGATGGATTTCCAAAAAGTTTGAATCTACATATCTTTTCTAGGGAATATTTTCAAACCTTCGCTAGGGTCAATTTTAGCCCAATCAGTTCCGCTGTTTCACGTTTATTGGATACAAACACGTAAACAGACAAATCAAGATATTTATAAAAATAGAAAACAGATTCATATATTTGCTAAAGAATTTAGCACGGACACATTGTTGGGTTATAGGAAGTGAAAACTTCGCTTAAAATATAGTTTCTAATCCTCATATCTTTGCAACCTTATGGGGTGAATCTTTGATTCTCTGATCTTAGAAGCATGGTTTACCTATATGCTCATTTACACGAACATCTCCGGCTTTGAAACATTTCTCCCCTCCAGCTCCTCCTGTACAAACATTTTCTCCCCTTCATCTCCTCATATACAAACATTTTGTATTTATTAAAGTTTGAAACATTTCTCCCCTCCAGCTCCTCCTATACAAACATTTTATGTTGATTAAAGTTTGAAACATTTCTCCCCTCCAACTCCTCCTATATAAACATTTTATCTTAATTAAAGTTTGAAACATTTCTCCCCTCCAGCTACTCCTATACAAACATTTTATCTTAATTAAAGTTTGAAACATTTCTCCCCTCCAACTCCTCCTATACAAACATTTTATCTTAATTAAAGTTTGAAACATTTCTCCCCTCCAACTCCTCATATACAAACATTTTGTATTTATTAAAGTTTGAAACATTTCTCCCCTCCAACTCCTCCTATACAAACATTTTATATTGATTAAAGTTTGAAACATTTCTCCCCTCCAACTTCTCCTATACAAACAGTTTATCTTAATTAAAGTTTGAAACATTTCTCCCCTCCAGCTTCTCCTATACAAACATTTTATGTTGATTAAAGTTTGAAACATTTCTCCCCTCCAGCTCCTACTATACAAACATTTTATATTGATTAAAGTTTGAAACATTTCTCCCCTCCAGCTTCTCCTTTACAAACATTTTATGTTGATTAAAGTTTGAAACATTTCTCCCCTCCAGCTCCTCCTATACAAACATTTTATGTTGATTAAAGTTTGAAACATTTCTCCCCTCCAGCTCCTACTATACAAACATTTTATGTTGATTAAAGTTTGAAACATTTCTCCCCTCCAGCTCCTACTATACAAACATTTTATATTTATTAAAGTTTGAAACCTTTCTCCCCTCCAGCTCCTCCTATACAAACAGTTTATCTTAATTAAAGTTTGAAACCTTTCTCCCCTCCAGCTCCTCCTATACAAACAGTTTATCTTAATTAAAGTTTGAAACATTTCTCCCCTCCAGCTCCTCCTATACAAACATTTTATATTTATTAAAGTTTGAAAACTGGGATTAGGAAATTATTGATGAATACTGCAGTGCATACAGTTTTCGGGTTAAAGGGACTAAAGACTATATTGACACAATTCAAAATTAATATGGTTTTTTTAGATTGGCGTTTCCGATTTCACAACTGTACCATTGATCAATAATGAATTAATTATCCATAATCTTTTCTTTTAAAATTGATTATTTTGTGCTTTCTCTCTACATTTACTTGCGCATTTCTGCTTCAGAACCAACGGAGGAAATTTTAAAAATGTTCACGCCATGTCTTCCACCTTATTTATCTGATAAAGGTTTCAATAGTACCGAAGTCAATCAGACATTTTTAAATGAGACGTTACATGAAATATAAAGTCACATATAGTTGAAATTGATGGTTTAATAATTGACAAACAAACAAGCAGAATGTTGCCTGTTGTTTGACTGAAAATTTACTAAAAAAACCTTTTTTCTCAAGTTATCTTTATACCTGCCGACGTCCGGATAATTATAAATTATTTCCGTTTATCAATCTCACAGCTGACAGAACCGTAATCTTTAATACTGATTAAGCTTATCTGTTTTCTATCAAATTCAAAATATACCTGCACAGTCTATAGTGTTATCATCAGCTGGTAAAATATACCTGCACAATCTATAGTGTTATCATCAGCTGGTAAAATATACCTGCACAGTCTATAGTGTTATCATCAGCTGGTAAAATATACCTGCACAATCTA